TGGGATAGAACGCAGTGGATAGCAGAACTATTCAGGTGTCGTTATCGCCCGCGAGCGCTCGACAACGCCGAGGTCTCATCAAGGCCCATCAACATGACGCTCGCTTGCAAGGATGAAACCACGCCATTACAAAGTGCTCGAACTGCTTGCTTTCGATCCCACAGTATCAATGCTTGCTCATTGCAGAGCTGTAGAAGGATGTCGCTGTCGCTTGCTAGCCACTCATTTGACTCTTGAAGCTGTCGCTGCTCTTCCTCGAGTCGTATCTTCTCGACAGATTTGACGACGTAGCATTCCCACAGGCAAAAGTACAGGTCCAGCAGTTTGAGGGCTGGTGTAGCCAGGGCATCGTTGTAGTGAAGAAGTTTCATGAACTCCGCCGTAAGGGAACCGCGTGTGCGCACTGGAACCTATGCAGTATTAGTGATCTCGTTCGTTTGCAATCGAAGAGGGCCTGACTAACCTCAGCTTTGTTGGTTGCACCATCTGAAGAATGCTGTATGTGGCATTGCGCCTTGTTCTCATATTCTGCGTCGTGGGAAACCAGACGCTGTCTCTTGGCCGGTCGGTCACTCGGGGAAGGTGAAGTCGGATGGTCCATCGTGGCCTTTGGAATGAAATGCAAGAGACATTGTACTCGAGGGTCTTTTATAGCCGGCAATGACACTGAGCTGCTGTCATTGTCAGCCACGACCGTCCCGAGCTGAGTTCGACCGCCTTCAAAAGAGTCAGTGAACGGTTACCTCAACTGTTGACGCTCGATCTCACCTGCTGTTTACCACTAGTTACTCGATTTAACGTGGAAATGGGCAACAGACGAAGCCTTGAGACAAAAACTTGTAGGAAATACCTCCTCATGATAGTTTGCAAGTGCAATTTTGATGGATTGGATGGTAAGTATCAGCCAGACTTCGTTGAAGCTGAACGTGGCATTACTGTGAATAAGCCTGTTCAGCGGGGAGATACACATAATTAATTCCGAGAGTTCATGGCAAGTGATACCGAGAACAGCCTAATGGCATACCACAGCGCGGTTTCGTGCGCTTGATTATGAATGTTGAGGTCTAGCTCTCGACGATTGAGCAGCAGCTCACGCATTGCAGCGGAAGAGTATTGAAACGCCCTCATCAACGGTGTTTTCCCTCGGTAAAAGGCATTGATGTTGGCATTGTGCTGGAGCAAAACCGCCGCAAGATCAACATTGTCGTCTTTGACGGCCAGGTGCAACAGGTTGCTGTTCTGGAATTTGATGTTATATCTCCAGATGCTGGGCTGGAGTCTAAAATCAAGGTCTTTGCACGACTTTGCAAGGGCGATCATCGCACTACCATCCAAATGCGACACAATCCACAGCAAAAGCTCGTTGGGCAGGTCTCTGATGTTCGGCTATAATGTATTAACTCACCGGTAAGCGCGGTAAGAATGAATTGAAACAGACCATGATTGGACAGTGGATTGGAGCTAGAAGGAAATGAAGTGTGGGCGAGGATGAGGCAAGAGTTGTGAAGTTGGATATAAGAGGCCTTTATGTACTCGCCTCGGCTAAATCCCATGGTCCGCTAGGAGCGTAGCCTGTGGCTCCGTTGAGAGGTGCATAGCAATCGCACGGGAGCATCACAGCCTTGACAACAATGTTCGTGGAGAACCTGTAGAGTCTACCTCCTGAGAACACCAAAGTTGTTCCCCCGGGAGACCGATCTATCTTGGTACCCACTTCTCGCATCTAGCGCCATAAGCGTTGAAGCAAATCACAACCTACCTGCACTCCGAATTGTATAGAGGAAAATCGCAGTTTTCTCAACGATGCTACCAACCACAATAGCCAATGCTTGTGCCAATGCATAGTCGTCGCAATATACAGCCACAAGTGCAGCTATTTGGGCAGCAGCGATCTGGAATGATATCTCTTCTCGCAGGCCACTGATCGGCTTATACTAGCACATACTGCATCCTAATGCATTCTTCGACGCATCGACTGTTTCAAGAAAGCATTCCATGCCAGCAGCCACGCAGACATGTAGGCAAGAAGCCCACGGCGATAGCATATAAAGCTGGCGAGGGAACGCCGCAGAGAATGCCCAACAGCACCACTCAAGTCGAGAAATTTTCTTACTTTGAAGATCGCATCAATGTCCACTACGCTGCCTTGGAATCCGTTTCTTGTTTGTGAGATAGAAGTCAGCCCCAATGGCGGTCCTGGCTTCTGTTGTGGGATGACGAAGAAAGACGCCCCGTGCAAAATCTGGATCAAACTTGAAGACACCAAGATAGGCCATCAAAAGCTGAACACTCTCACCAGAGAGCTGTTCGAATTATCAAATTTGCAGCCGAAGCGTTGTGACGTTGACAGAGACTTCCTCTGCGCGAGATGGCACTGGCAACGGCAGGCCGACCAAGTTGGCTAGCAGTGGTTTGAAGCAGGCAGCCGTCCACAACCAGCTCGAGTCCCACATGGTTCCAGAATGGCCTCTCCATCATTAATGGTACATCCGGGCCAGCTTCAGACATCGTCAGACACCGTCAGCCTCCAGGCGACGCCCTGCGGTATCTGACAACACTGACCGGTCACCTCCTCACGGGCGCAGACAAGACCCGCCAGTGCGCCTGTCAACCACCCCCCAGCCAGTGCAGCCAGTGCAGCCATTCAATGCATTTGTGACTTCCACAATGCTGCGGACGAATAGCGTTTCGCCGGACCAACCCGCCATCCTGTCATCGGCAACTAATATCTAGGCTGGTGTCAAACACTTGACGCTCCAGATTTTCACCTCGAGCGAAGAAGTCGACAGCATCCACGTCGGCAACATCTACTGTGTGTTCTGCCAGACCGATGATGAAGACCATGCGAACGAGCGTGGGATCTTGCGCTGCCGTCAGCGCACATCGCTCTCTCATCTATCCTGCGCGGAAGAATGGTTGGAAAAGCGAGACACAGGTTTTAGCACATCATGCTGTTTGTGATAAGTGTGGATGACCTTGTTCCTGCGACGACCAAGATAATGATGACCACAGTCGAAACCAAGCAGCCCTGAACCCCTTCTTTCGCCATTTACGAATCCCCTCGTCGGATGCCGAAGTTCCGTCCACACGGCAAGCGAATCGTCTCCCACTGGTGGGCCCCGTCACTCAGCCAGACTAGCAGTGGCCCATCTACCGCGAGACCCGTCCAACTCTGCCCCGCTTCGCCGGTCGGCACGACTCGATTCCACTCATCGTGGGTGATCACAGGTTACAGGCGAGGTAAGATGGAAAATAGAAAAAGCGACTGCCAGTCACACGTGAGTACACGTGACCAGACACTCGGCACCGGTAATATAGATTTTTGGAATAGCTTAGCAAGGAATGAAATCCTGATCGTTCAAAGGACAACGCGACCGTTTCATCTTTGCATGTGCTGGACACCGTTACACCTGAACCAAAAGATACTGGCTGCTTCGGTTAATTCAAACATGACATAGCACTAAATGTGCTGGTAGGTTAAGTTCCTTGTTTTTCAACTTACCTAACGGCGGTGACCAAGGAAACACAAACACGGATTTATATCAGTGCGGCTGTCGCGTAACAGCGAAGATTGTTGGCAGAAAAAAACACAACTCGCGGGCTGGCGAGAGACTGACAACCTGTTGTGCTTGTTAAAATGACTCTGGTAATCAATTTATTGACTCTGGGAACCTCAAAGCATTTCTAGAAGCTTTTGATCCCTAGGAGATACACTTTAGCTCTTGGGGCTATTCTACGTTCCAGGAAAATGAGATCTACCCCTGGGATCTTCACTCTACGTTCCTTGACTGAATACAAAACTCGCTCTGGGAATATATTGGCCAAATTTGGGAGCTTTGGAGCCCCTGGGAGCTTACTTTAGGGTCCTAGAGTCACTATTCTGCCTTCCGAGATCGCGGAAGCTCTCTCACAAAACACCTTCACCATTCCTGCGCACAAATCTGCGTCATTCGATCACCCCCATAAGGCAAAATAATCGCCCCAGGAATCAACAAGTTGTCAACAGGAGCGTGGTTTTGATTCCCCGAAGTGTGGGCAATAGAACCCAGAAACTATGTCGAGTTTGCTGGGGGCTACGTTGCTCCATGCGAGGGTCTTACATTTCCGTATATGAGGACAGCGTCTTCCAGATGAGTAATCAATATTTACAAAGCTATAGTCGACTCTAGATACAAGACGTAGCGCGAGGAAGCAAAAGAATGGTAGCTTCCTCGCGTTCAGGGGAATCCATATACGCCATGTGGGTCCCGCGCAGATCATATCTCCATTCGCCCTGTATGCTTCATGTATATCCCTGACACTCCTCGAAGTTGTATCTGCGCTTCCGGAAACCGTACCAAAGGCCCTGGGAGCAAAAGAACCCCTAGGGCCAGATGGGCTTCCCTCCCTTCAAAGTGGATCAAGGAGCGTGCATGAGCGCAATAGGCGTTTCAGATCAAGACCAATAAGATCTCTACGCGTTAAATTGTTATTTGCGATACCTGTAACTTGGCTAGATACATGGGTCTTCACGCCAGATGAGGTTTTTGTGTGGCTTGTGTAGCCGCTGGTCCTTCTTAGCTTCAGTTTCAACACCTGCAAGCCACGTTATCGATTACTGCCTTATTTCTCCCATTTGCGTTCGTGCGCCTCCGTAAGCGAGGCCGTGCACACGGATTTCCGAGATCAGCCCCACGGGGAGTGCAGGCCTCTCTCACTGGACTGCGACATTCTGATGCAAGGACCTCTCCGTCGCTACATCGAGCGGTGTTAGCAAACCAATACGGAGTGCAATGTTAGCGCCCGGGAGGCGCCTTGACAGCCTGGTATAGCTAGCAACTGAAAGGATTATAAATGCTCGTTCTCTTTTTCCTTGAAGCCAGGATCCAGTCGAATATATTACTCCCTTGCTGTATTTTTCTTTTTGATCTCTTTGAGGTTCAACAGAAGATTGGTTATTGAAATTTACAAATTGATTTAAACATACAATTCCTTTATTTGCCACATCTGCTTTCCTTCGAATGGCTACTAAGCTTCGATTTTTGACAGTCTCCCAAGTTCAGCGACTTCATGCGAGATTTGTCGTCCCCAATGCTGTTCCAGTCCAACCAAACATGCTGGAGTCTGCAATCCATTCGCCGATGAACATGAAACACTACGCAAAGGAGGAAGATGTTTTCCAGCTTGCTGCGAACCTTGCCGAGAAAATAATGTTAAATCACGCCTTTCAAGACGGGAACAAACGCACCGCCTTACTGGCCGCCGATATGTTCTTGAAAATCAATGGCTTCTATCTTCAGAAGGTACCATTTGCGGAGGATCTAAACAACAAGGCGCTAGCAAATGCCCACGTCGCCGTCGTTACCAAGCAGTGGACCGCTCAACAATTGGGAATCTATTACAAGTCTGTGGCAGCGCCTCTTGGTCCTGTTACTGCAGAAGTCATGGACTATAGAAGCTGGGCTCTCGAGTACTAGTCTCATACTGTCCGTCACCATCATGGACGTTTGAATGGCGTCTGGGTGGTGTTCTGATTACGGTATCCATTTCTGTTGTGCGCGAGCTCCAAGTGGGACTCATAGTCACAATTTAGTATCGTCTTGCGCATTGTTTCTGCGTCTTTACATTATATTCGCTCTTGTTTTGAGGGAAGGGAAGAAGGCTCTCATGATGCAAATCTGTTGGTTTAGCATTGATCACTGAAAAAATAAAGTTGTGCATCAATTGACTCGGGCACACTTCGCAGACAGATTTCGAAATTATTACATTGAGTAGTGAATTTCGAGTATCTACCAATGCTAGCCCCCGGTAGTCTCGATAACATTAGGATTTCTCCTTTGCCAATAAACCTTCTCCCGTGTTCTAGTCGTAGATTGGCAACCCGTCTCCATGGTCTTGTATCGAGCGATTCCCGATATGGCTGCTAGGAAACAAGATTGACATCACATATTCCTCAACTGGTAGAGTACGCTGTCCAGGTTCCGTCCAGTCGCGCTTGCATTCTCCGCAAAATTTGCTAGGCATTATGGATCAGTATGCGTGAGATGTGAAGGATTTGTGGCTGGTACCATCAGGTGTTCCATCTAGAGCTATCTCGTGCATCTTTCCACCCAGAAACAAAGTTGCAGAACTTGAATCTGACTCTGTTTGGCGGGGCATTTGGCTTGGGACATAGAGGCGGGGATAACTCGATGGTCCTAGCAATGAAACAAAGTGTTAGCCTTGGCGGTAGAAAACTCTCGTGAACTGATAACTTACCAAACCCAAAGTATTGCGAGTCATGGAAAAATGTAAGTTTACACCTTTCCTCAGCACTAGCTGCAGAGGCTGATAAATATGGACTGGCAGCGCGTAGTGCACTGCCAACCCCTTGCTCAATCAAAACATAAGTTTCTCCCGGGTTGCCAATAATAATAGGCACCTTGCTGGTAACCAGATTTCCACTCGCATCATGGGTAACGAAATCTGTCGTGACGCGATGAAAATATCGGGCAGTAAAAGCGCTTCTAGTGCAGTGCAGAAAAGAAAGGGGCCGAAAGGCACTGCGAAACATGGGATGGGGCTAGCTAAAAACTCAAATCAGTGAAGTGACAAGGAATACCTTGGTATTCAAAACGTATCATGGGCTGTATAGGATGTAGAATACACAAGTATATAAGAGAGGTCTGACAGATAAGTGCGACCAGTGATCTTAAATACCCATCTTCGACGGAACTTTGATTCGGGGCGGAAAAATATATCAGCGGATCAGTTAAGTTCGGGAATCCCAGTCAGGCCAATAGGAGAATTGATAAGTAACCAGAGGCATCAGCCGACCCGACCACCCAAAAGGGCGGCGAAATTAGTGTCCACCGCGTGTTGCATTCCCCAGCTATTAATGGGATGGATCGATGGATCGATGGACTTCATTGGTGGAGGCAGACCAATTTAATATGGTAATGGCCTAGACAGCATGGTCCGCTACGCAGAGGTGAACGCTAGCGCTTCGGCCCACTGAGTGGGTGCTGTTGAGTGGGTCCGAAGCTGAACCCCCCTTTGGGAAACATCACTTTGCGCCCATCGCAACGCGGCTTCGCGTGCAAAAGATGCGTTTTTGTTGTAGTTCAGAGGTATGAATTGACTTGTTATTTCAGAGGGATACATGATCCTATATAAACAACAATTAGCCAAGTTGATTTCCAATCAACTTGATCGTCTGTATAGACACTTCGGAGCTAATTCCGACGGTGCGGCTTGGTTCCTGATCTGCACCAGCCTCATATCACAACAAATACGAGTGGACTGGCAGCCGACTCATCTGTATTGGGAATTACTTGAATCCAGACGATCTCCCTGCCACGATTCAACAAGACAACCTACACCCATCAAAGCCTCTCAGATACGATGTTGTTCAGGAGAAGTTTGAACATTGGTCTTACGAAGAAGAGGATGCAGTGGCTCTCGCGGCCATGGAAGACTCTGTCAGTCGCAAAAATCGAGTCCTGAGGAACTTGACTACCAGCCAATATGTGTTAGAGGACAAGTTGCAATGTGGAATTACCCTTGGTCACATTGTTCTGATGCGTATCTGTTGGTCGTCTGAAAGTTCAACCGGCATTCCGGGAGGAGGATATCTGGCCAAGGGTGACTGGGCTGGTTATGAGTTCGGCATTGTAGACGCTGGTGTGCTAGCAAATATGAACGGAGGATGGGAAGATGTCACCGAGGACACCCGCGATGAGGTTCAGGTTCTGTGGTCGGGCGATTTCGGACAAGATTGGGAAACTGAATGGAGAGCTCGATACGACATAGGCAAGAAGCTATGAAATCATTTGCTGTAAAGATAATTTGATGTAAAGAATGCTATATACATGATTTTGCTGATGAAAACCCGTGGAATTGATATCTCATGCGGCAGTGAAATGTCCCAGCAATACATTGTGTTCCATAGCTGATACTCAATGTCTCATATTCGCAGTTGACACCATCTGAAGCTAACGATACGGGCCGTAGTACGAACCTAGGTTCAACTACGCGGGATTTCATTCGCGACTTCGTGCATGATCCTATAAAATGCGACCACAGCTCCCAGGAATTAACAAACTCTTTTCAGGAATGCGACGGGATTTCGGTGGCCAACTAAGTTCAGACTTCATTCCTCGGGCGCGTAATAGAGACGCAGCGAGATGAATTGCCTAACTACCGCTTTCTCAAACATCTATATATTGCACTGTTCCTACATGGTCACAGTACCCTCTCATGAAAATATCTTTCCGCCAGCGGAATACACCACGAATTTCACATCACTCCGAACGCATTTACATTTGATTTCCTCATCATGGTCTGGAACTCTACTCATTTCCAAAATGTTTTGGGCCAAGTTTGGGCGATCATCTGCACCATGAGCGGTGCATATGGGTGGCAGCTGACGGAAATCACTGCCCAAACACCGTTCCGATTGACTCCCGCTTTCAAGCCTTCATCTGTTCGTCTTTTCTGCATAAAGTTGAGTAATTCGGGGTGAGCAGCCGGTGAGATCGAGCGTCGACAGTTGAGTTAACCGTTCAATGACTCTTTCAAAGAGGGTCGAACTCAGGCCAGGACGGTCGTGGGTGGCAATGACAGCAGCCTCTGCGTGGCTTCGCCGGGCTATAAAGAACCCTCGAGCACAAAGTCTCTTGCATTTCATTCCAAAGACCACGATGGACCATCCCACTTCGCCTTCCCCAAGTGACCGGCCAGCCAAGAGACAGTGCCGGAATTCCCACGACCCAGAAGATGAGAACAAGTTGCAAAGCCATCCGCAGCAATTATCAAAATACACAAGGATCGAACCCGAGGTCGGTCATACCCTCTTCGATAGCAAACGAACAACATCACTAATACTGCATAGGTTCCAGTGCGCACACCCGGTTCCCTTGCGGCGGAGTTCATGAAGCTTCTACATCACAGCCACACCCTCGCTACACCAGCCCTCAAACTACTAGACCTGTACTTTTGCATGTGGCAATGCTATGTCGTCAAATCTGCCGAGAAAATGCGACTTGATGATGAGCAGCGACAGCTTCAAGACTTAAATGAGTGGCTAGCAAGCGACAGCGATATCCTTCTACACCTTTGCGATGAGCAGGCATTGATACTGTGGGCCCAAAAACGAGCTGTTCAAGCCCTTTGTAATGGCGTGGTTTCATCATTGCAAGCGAGCGAGACTCAAGCCTATCATGTTGATGGGCCTCATCATGCGAGATTGATTGCTGTCCGCATGCATTTTCTTCCGTGTCGCGCTGGGCATCTCGATCGTCAAGCATTCTCTTGGTGACCAAAGATTCACCCCCCTTCTCCCATTTCCGACCAAGAGATGGACAAGTGTAATCCTCTACGAACTCCAATCACACCCTCAGCGTAAGTCTCTTACCATGAGAAAAGCGCCTTCGCCACGTCCGGAGTTGTTGCTCAATCGGTATCCAAATAAATATTGGTCTTGTTGAAGCGCTTAGTGAGATCAAGCTGTTAGGCCTGCCAACGGCTGCAAAGTGATCCCAGCCCACTGAACTATTATATCAGGAAATTCGCAAAGCGATCCCATGATCATTCGCTCTGGGATGTAAAGGAAGCAATGTAAACAAATGAAATACGCGGATGCAAACATGATAAACACAAAGAAAATCCAAAATGAATGTCAATTTACCTCTGGTTCCTCCGACATTTGGCCTAACCAGATTCGCACAAATCTCACTCCATCTTCCTGGCGACCATTCAACCCGTCGGCTGCCGCTCGCGCACTCGCTTCAATCAAGGGAGTACAGTGAACCTGTCACTGGACTCCTACTGGGCTCCCTATAATGTAAAAATCATGGAAGCTGTAGAGCTTGTGATTGGATATTTAAAGGAAACGTTTCTGCCAAGATAAGAGTTGCTCCACTAGCTCTCACAAGTTGCCAAAAATTTCATCACGGAACAGCTACTGGATTTTATTTTAGAGGCAAACAATGGAAAGACTGGATGCAAAATTCGCGGAATGAATATTAACACATCCTTAGAACAGCTAGCCTTTAGGACTCTGAGTCTATTGAAACATAATCCAAGAACTCCTCCTCCGAATCCAACGAATTTGAACACATATCAGATGAAATATCCTCCTCTTCGGCTTCTTTTGGATTCTTTATTTTAACTTGTCGAACAAACCTTGCCAGACCTTCACCAATATCACTCGAACATTGTAAGTCCTCCCTAATCATTGCTTCCTTAACGTTTTTTTCCCGATCATCCAATTCATTACGCATATTTTGTATCTCCCCGAGTTGCGCAAGTAACCTTCTCTCAAATAGATCTTTGTTGCGCTTGAGTTCTTCAATCGTATATCGCAGCTCTCTCCGAAGACTGCCGACCTTTTCCGACCGAGTGGAATCTTCTAAAGCTTGCAAAAAAAGTTCTGCATTTTCAACAAGTCGTTCAACTCCAGCTGCGGTCTTTCGAAGCCGGTGCACAGCAGAATGTCGAAGCTCTCGAAGTAGACCAATAAATTCCTCCAAGGGGGCTTTCAGAATTTTGATCGGCTTGGTTGAGTTGCAAGAGAGTATTTTGATCCATTCGGTAAGCTCAACAGCTTCGGGACAATCCCATCCATTTTGTGCCAGAAGTTGAGGAAAATGTCGCAAGGCAAAGTCGAAGCAACTTTCCTCAAGTAATTCTTGTATCGTGGTCAAGACCAGATGCTGACGTCGATAGTGAATGTAAACCGGATACAGCGACTGAACTGTTGTAGGACAGAACCGCCCAACGGATGCCTCTCTATCTTGGAGTTCAGTAGGAGAAATGACGGCCGTCTCTTTTGAAGCATCCTTGTCAGATATCTCCCTGACCGTATTAGCCTCATCTTTTGCTGCCACTGCCTCTGAAACCTCTCTCTCAGCACTCTGAGTAGGCGAAACATCGAATAACTCCGGAAATCGAATCTTGGCTTTCAAAGTCGAATCAAAAACCTCACCCTCAAGGAGCTTCTTGGCGACATTGCTCGTGCGATTGATATCGTATTCTAGAAGGATATCGGCGAGGGCCGGCTCATTTTGTTTGATTAAGCCTTTGATGGTCTTCAACTTTCTCACCTGAGAGTTAGAGCCACGAAAGATATGCTGGCAGGCCAAATATATCCGCCTCTCATCTGGATTGTTTTGCCCCATTTTGCAACTTGGTAGTGGCCATTGAATAGTCGAGGGTTCTCTCGCATTTATATGATATGGGTTTGATTAGCTCTTATACGCAAACAGATGCCACAAACTGTAAGAGCCCACATTAAAACTTCTTAAGCATAAGTTACCAAGCCCGTAGCGATGTACTTTCACCAGCAGTAGGAGAGGCTCCTGAAACCGTCACTGCTGTCAAGGTTTCAGACAGGTGAAAAAAACTTCGAAATTATAAGTGGTATGTCCCAACTCCTCAAATGGAAGGTGAGAGGCGCATTCCATCAATGTGACTTTTTGACATTCCGATATTCCAGGAACCCCTGACACCGTAAAATTGAGTTTATCAAGGGAAGTAGATTAAGTATCACAAGGGAGAACAGACTAACCCTATTCAACACAACTCTAGCAGCAGAATCCATTGTCGCTTCTGGTAATGCCTTTCCACCAACTTAACTTTATTATATATGGTTTTATGTGGATCACTCCCAAGGTGGCAGCTTAGTTCTTGGAAATTCCAAGAGGCGCTCGGAGTCATAGCCAGGAACAGCGTGGCTGGACGAAGATAATGATCCCAGGGCTCGAGCCATAGTTTTTATATGCGCTAGATTAGCCGTGGTCGATGAAGAAAGTCAGGTCATCGTTTTGTTCACCATAATCGAGAAATCTATTTCGAGTATTTCTATGCTGAAATAGGGCACATCGTCTTGAATAGATAGTCCCCACCCTCCTCTTGCGTTATTCAAGAACCCTGCCAGATTGAGTTTGGAAGTGTGATTCCAGTCATCGAGTACCATAATCAGCCGCTCCCGGAATAATTGCAATGCGTGTTCGAAAAACCGCAGCCGGGATAGCTGCTTGTCGTGGCGAAGCTGAACACGGTCCCTCTCCTTTCTCAGGTGCGCACCAGCTTCCTTAAAAACAAGGTTGTGCTGCTCTATCTTCTGGCCATTGATGTGTTTGTACACGCATGACTCCCACAAGCGTCGATAGAGTCCGACAAGTCGAGCTGCTGGAAAGGCGAACTTGGGATTGTCGCGCTTAAGGTCTGCTAGAACCTTTAGGGTCGGTTGAAATGGCTCGGTCGCCAGGTTGTGTCTTGTTTCTGATTCCTGCTGCGAAGTGGAGGGCTACAATGGCCAGCAAAAGCATGTAAAGCCGAATTGTTTCACTAGCCAATGTGACATGGTCCAAACTTTCCTGTAATCTTTATTTCTCGCTATAGATTGGCAATTTCACTGAGCTGCTGATTTTCTTCATTCTCCTGGCCTGTTGAGCTGTTTTGGGAGTCTATTTTGCCCGTAGGAGAAAATGAAGGTCCGCGCAGTACCCTTTTCGTCAGGCGTTCGTATTTCTTATGGGAAGAAATATGAGCTTGTCATTGCGGATTGAATAGTACCCAGTGCCTCAATTTAAGAGTCCCGTGAAGGATTCAACAGTCAGGCAACGTTTCTTGACCAACTCAGCATGCTGTTGTTCAACACCCTTTTTAATTGTCTCTCACGCTGAGCATCTAAAGCATTAAAAACGTTGCTGCGAGTAGTTGCGGTTTAAAGAAGACATGGGTTTCAACAGGCCTCAATTAAGAGGTGTCCCCCAACGCGTTCTACCAAGCAGCGCACGTAGCACGTAGGCGAAAGGACGAGCCGAGAAGCCTATAAATACATCCTCTACCCCCGGCAATTTGCTCTACGATTTATTCACTTGACTACGAAAGGTCGAGTAGGCTTGTGTCTGAGTCACTTGATCAGTTCTCCACCTTTGACCCAGTACTGAATTCCATCGTGGACCAGCAAGCCAGACAGTGCTTGTGAGAGATACAGGTATGATTCCCACCAGATGCACTGCATTCACACCAGCCGATTAAAGATGTCTTGCGAAGATGCCTCCGCCACAGCAGCCGACTGAGCTGATCTACTGTACAGCCTCTGTGTGTATTCCCAAGAGAAAGTGCGAATATCCACGTCGCAGGTATGTGAATCTTAGCCTGACTTGTCTGAATTCTACTGATCCTGAAGAAGATACGATTCCAATAGAACCGACATTCGACCACAATGCACGAGCGCAAGGACCGCAACTCTTTGCCGTTCTTCGTCCCTAGGCTTGGCCACCAGAAAATGTGAGTCATGGATTCTGTCGCCGATCTATAAGCTAATGAACGATAGTAAACATTGACATCGCACCAGAAGTCCCTGAGGATACAGCACCCCCGTTAGTGCTCTGCACAAAGCCACTGCCTACATACTATTCTTGGCCCCGTCGCTTCAGACCACACATCATACCCTAGCTGGAGTGAATCAAAGCAGCGGCCAAATAAAGGTGCGAATATCCGATTGCGAGCTTGAGATGTCCATTCTTCCTGGAATTGTGTGATTTATCGCACCCTCTGCTGCGGTATATCAAATATTTATGCAATTCTTGTGCTCCAAAACACGAGCACCATTGCTGACTTTATGCCATCGTACATAGGAGTGCCATCGCCACTGTGAAACATACCTGTTGGGAGTTCTATCGCCGCATCAGAGATAAGAACAAGGCGTCACTATCGCGTCTTCCGCCTCAACCTCACCGCCCTCACACAGAGTGTATGAACCCCGCGCCGTCCTCATCGCGAGGTCTCTTCTCATTCCAACTGTGCAATCACCCTCTAAAGGTGGTTCGTCACACGCCTTTGTGCACCCAGGGCGGCTTATTCGAAGCGACAGCCGGAGAGTGCGACGAACTGGATACAACATCATGTCAACACGGCACGAATGGTGACTGCATTGATGAAGACAATTGTAAGTGATCTCGTCGGTAAGATATGACCACGAAGCTAATTGATCGTTTCGTCTCAAGCGAACGTTCTGCGAACTTTATGAACAGGTAAGTCATAAAGTCTCGCCCAAGTGGTAAGCCTTGCTGACCCGTATCGTACAACAGGACGCCCTCATTTTCTCTGTTCGAGCTCCCTACCGATGCGATCGCATACTGTCTATCATTTCCACATAACTACTGGCGGGATCGATGATGAGCCAACGTAGGGTCCAGATCGTCTCGGCCCTTCTCTCAGTCGACTCTGTGCATCAGTCATGTGCTGGTGTGTCTACCTGATACAAAGTCCAAGGCACAATGGGCTAAACCACCGTCTGTTTCGGCATTCGAACACCGCAAAAGAATAACCTCCTTGGAGATCAAATTTCTGACGTCCAACGGGTAATCCTCATTATCCTCCATTCGCATCTCACGTCTTTCGATGCGTGGCAGCTCGACAGACACCGAGATGAGCTCATGTTTCCGTCTGTCTCATGGCGAACGAGTCCTACTTTCGCCGACGAGCAGGCTGTGAGTCTAAGTCTGCGTGCAAGGAGAAGGTGGGGCGGGACCCCATTATTTCGAGCCTACAGATGAACATTGGCCATATCAGGTACGAACCGATAAAATGAGACGGTAGGGTGTCGAGTCATAGCCGAGTCAACTAGAGAGCACGAGCAAAGAGATGCCGTCCGATAGTTTCACCTGATCCTCCGCGTTGCTGAGCCGGTCGATGTATTCCAGCGGGTGGAGCTAACAAGCGGAATCGAACAAGTGGAAATGAATCAACCGGACATGCAGCGTTGTGCATGTCCGGTTGATTGTGTTGGCCAATTCTTGCTAACAGTCTGGAGGGTATGTTCTCCACGGTTTTTAAGTAGTAAATTGGCCATATCTCTCAACATATCGATCGTAAGAGCAGCACCTCTACAGCGATTTTCGAAAACAGTTTACCCCCAGAGACTCACACTTTGTTCCTCGGTCCGTACCCGAAACTACGCTAACCCCCTTCAGCTAAGACGTAATTAATCGCTTTCTAATAATAGCCCACTCTTTTAAACCCAGAACGACCGGATTACGTATAATAATGTATCTTACACGAAAATTACATACACTACACCCTCAATGCCCCTCCATACTGTACACTGACATCCATCCTGCGCAGCACACCATCGTTGAACTGCAAGCACCGCGAAAACACTGAGCAACATGGCACCGAGACTTCCCCCATCAACACTGAAATTCATCAGTGATATGATACAGAGCCAATCACTCACGCGTCATCAAATGGCCGAGGCGGCGGAATGTAGTGAACAGACAATCAAAAATATACGCAGAAACTTGCGCCTGTTTGACAACGTCCATGCCCCCCAACCCGCATCGGACGGAGACGAAGTATAACGCCCCCAATGCTGGAAGCGCTTTTTGATCATCTGCTGGAAAAACCGGGTCTGTACCTCGACGAGATGGTTATCTTTTTATGGGATGAATTCCAGATGCTAGCAACAACTTCTAGCATTAGAAGGGCTCTCGTATCTAACGGTTGGTCGAGAAAAAGTGCACGTCAGAAAGCGAAAGAGCAGAACGCCGAACTACGAGAAATATACCTTCATAATCTCTCCGAATATGAGTCGTACCATCTTGTTTACGTTGATGAATCTGGATGTGACAAGCGAATTGCATTCCGACGGACTGGCTGGTCACCACTTGGTGTAGCACCACGGCAAGTGTCACAATTTCACCGTGATGAGCGCTATCAAATATTGCCTGCCTACGCTCAAGATGGTGTTGTGCTCTCTCGTGTCTTTCGCGGCTCAACGGATGCCATTGTGTTCCAGGACTTTATTGAAGAACTCCTTCGACATTGTGGAAGATGGCCTGAGCCAAAGTCTGTCCTAGTCATGGATAATGCGTCCTTTCATCACTCCGAACGAATCTCACAGATGTGTGCTGACGCCGGAGTGAAAGTCGTCTATCTGCCTCCATACTCGCCGGATCTCAATCCAATTGAAGAATTTTTTCTGAGCTTAAAGGTTTCATAAAACGTCATTGGAGCGACTTTGCAGATGATCCCGACCGAGAGTTCAGCACTTTCCTTGAACGGTGTATTAATCAGGTTGGGGTAAAGAAAGACAGCGCTAGGGGCCATTTTCGGCACGCAGGCCTCACTATTGAGGATCTAAATGATTGATCCAGCACCTGTGTTACCCAGATAACACCATACAGTACTATGAAGCGAGAGCATACAGTCAAAACACCCAGTTTCACCTCAGTATTGTGAAATCTTTGCGTCTGATTCTCTTGTTCATCCAGCAGTCTTACCGAAACAGAGTAGCTTACAGTGTCTCCTGAAAAAGGCTTCCATGTTCATCCTTGTTTTCTCTGCGTCCAATCATTCAGATCAAAGACGCACTTTGCCAAAATCCTGTGTGTTTCTGGGGTTTTCTTTTTTAGTGAAGAGTTATAGATGCACAGTGAGGAGTCTCCGATCCAGGTAATCTGCTTCTTGCATCAGCCGTCGATCGTTGAAAACGACCCAACAATGAGCCAGCCCATACAGCATAAATAACCCGAAATTGTGATAGCCAGTTCTGCCAAGTCTTGGCAAACGCCTCGAAACCACCAACGATTCTGCCAACTCTACGTCATCCTCTTTACTTGTCCGCTCTCGGTTTCTGCCACTTCGCCCGCACTTCACATCCGCTTTCTCCTCTTCTTTATCTTCTGCTCTACCCTAGATTAGTTGCTAAGGATAATTATCGCTTCAATCAAGCCTGGCAATATTTCCGGGTGACTACCTAAGCAGCAATGGCGGAACATGGCTCAGATGCGGCATTTGCTTATCATGAACCACCAATTACAACCTTACTCAACCAGACAGGATTTCTCGTTGTTTTGAATCTTGTGAATGTCTGCCTTGACAAAATACTATACTGTGGGCTCATTGGACAGTTATTTGTCGGTATCCTTTGGGGAACACCCGGAGCAAAGTGGCTCGATCGCGAGACAGAAACTGTTATCCAGCAGCTGGGGTACCTCGGATTAATTATGTTAGTATACGAGGGTAAGTAGTCCTTTTCTGTTCAAGTTGAACCTTCTGCTTATGCTCAATCAGGCGGTCTGTCAACATCGATCAAGTCCGTGAGGGCAAACCTCGTGGTTTCCCTCTGCGTTGCGATCACTGGTATTGGAGCACCGATGGGTCTGTCCTTTATTTTGAATGAGCTAGTTGGAGCAACATCATTACAAGCGTTTGCTGCAGGAGCAGCACTTAGCGCTACGAGCCTAGGAACTACCTTTACGATCCTTTCAACAACAAACCTGATCTCTACGCGCTTAGGTACAGTCACGACCAGTGCTGCAATGCTAGATGATGTCGTCGGTCTTGTTATGGTCCAAATTATTTCCAACCTTGGCGGAAGTGCTTCATCTTTCAGTTCGCTGACGGTCATTCGACCCGTCTTCGTATCCATTGGTTTTGCAGTGGGTCTTTTACTTCTGTGTGCGTTCTTCATCAAGCCAATGTTGAAAAAAATCATCTCTGCGAAGCCCAAAGTCCCTAATTTTATGCGAAGCATGGAGTTCGCATTTCTATATCAGACGGTGTTTCTGGTGGGTCTTGTTGCGGGGGCCACTTATGCAGGCACGTCGAGCCTGTTTGCGGCTTACCTTGCGGGTGTTATTGTCACGTGGTTTGATGGCATTATCACAGAGTCGAATATGCCACCTGGTGATGCTCCTTCTGGGACACCTCCGACAGACCCTAATTCTTCACACGTCGGGGCCCAAGACAATGGCACTCTTCGTCTCAACGGACAGTCCGAGATTTCGATTGCAACTTCTACAAGCGCACAACGTGGCGAAACTCCAACAGGCGAAAAGGTATATGAGAAATATTACAAACAGCCAGTTATCCGAATTCTCACACCACTGTTCTTCGTCAGTATATCCTCTGATCTATGTGCGCGCAGAATTAACGTGAATAATAGGCATCTATTGGGTTTGCAATTCCCATCACCGAAATGTTTAAAGGAAGTGTAGTCTGGCGTGGCGTCATATATGCACTTCTTATGATGTTTGGAAAATTGATCACTGGTATTTGGCTCGTCCGTTTCTCATCCCACCCCCTCTCGAGCCTCGCAAATGTACTGAAAAGTCCATTATCCCGCATTCACCTTTTCTGCATACCCACAAGGACCGACAAAGAGCAAAAAGAGAATCGACATAGCCCATCTAGAGCCCCCATTCAGTCCTCCAAAGTGTGTGCCTCAAACAATCAAGCAAACACCCAAAATCAAGCGGTCGAGAATTGTCGGTCTTCAGAAGACAAAAGCTCTGCCGGTCCCCCTAAGCCTCAGGAAGATTCGCACGCAACCCCTCGACGAAGTTCAAAGGAAAAATTTCCTCCGAAACCAAAGTCGTTATATCCTCCATCAATCCTCGGCTTGGCGATGGTTGCACGAGGAGAGGTCGGATATCTCATTGCTTCTCTCGCACAAAGCCAAGGCATGTTCGGAACTGGGTCATCTGGAGAAATTTCCGAGATTTATTTGGTTATCATCTGGGCGATATCTATATGTACGCTTGTTGGACCAATCTGTGTAGGTACCCTCGTCAAGCGCGTGAAAAAGCTACAAGAGATTCGAGGGGATTCTAGCCCGGATCCATTAGGAGTGTGGGGAGTCTGAAGAATTCTCCTTGGTACTATTGATGAACTTGTGAAGAGCAACAGCTGGACTCATCCCGAAGTATTTGATGTTGCTTTGAATTTTCCGCTGATCTCCCGGAATTGGCTCAAACGCGCATATAAGGCAAAGAAAGGGGGATTCTCGACTAAAAAACTAGCCAGGTGAACAACCAAAGATGAGGTCGAGCCATTCTCGACATTGCTTGACAAATAAACACTGAGTAACCCTCCCATGGCCCCACCGTCAAGGCTTCAGCTCGAATAATCTATCGAGCAAGCCGCATTTTAAAAATAATGATCAAAAGAAAGTGGTTTTTTTTCAAGTCCCGTGTTCTGTTATGTGTGCTGTGGGTACATTTTACTCGTATATTTATCCATGAACTTAGCGGTCTCTTTACTTAAGGTGGAACAATATAAATGGCATAGTACTGTGACCCTCACTTCATTACGGCTTGCTCAATATTCTATCCGAGAGAAGGCCATGTCGAGAATGAGTCTACTCAATCAACGATCTGGTCACAAATCTTGCCGATAAATTACCACTGCATCCACGATGTTTCAATTCTTTTCGACTGAACAGAAAGAACTTTTTGATCCATCGTTCTCGGCCGCAACTTGTTGATGGACGTACAGCATCGCCGTAAAGACCAACCATCAATAGGTGAGGTGATACGTCAGCACCATTACTACTCTTGGGCCTTCCACGTCATGTGCATATGTTTATAATCGTTGTCATGTTTTGATATTGACAGTAAATCACAGAAATGTGAGGGAAAATGCGGTCGTCTCTTGTGTCTTACTGTATTAAGCGCCGTAAATTTGAGGACAGCTACACCCAGCCCTTGGCGCAACTGATTTCTGAACCGTTATAACAACCAGACACTACTGTAGAAATGGATGACATCGGACATCGCGCCCATTCAACTTTCCAAGCTAAGGAACCGTCTACATGTGGCCCATCTTCTTCAACTACAAACGTCTGCTTCAGCACCGCCGCTATTGCAATCAGCGATTACTACCCTTCCTCCATTTTGCGTTGTTCGCATAATCACGAGCATCCAAAAACAAATGACAACATCAACAAGCATTTCTTCCGTTACACAAGTAAGCGATGGTTGTGGGATGAAGAACAACCAAATTACACGTTTTCCAACCGCTCGTGACTCGGGGACAGAACGCCTACTAGATTAATCTGGGAAATAGATCCTTGTGGTGCCTAATGTTTCAAAGTTGCATACAAACCGAGGGAACAAAAGAAACCGCAAATTAACAGCCCCCACCCCCAAACCCAAACGCCTACGTGCGCGTCTACGCCAAGTCGAGGACAGGCAATGCCTTTTTCACGTCCTCAACCCATTCACGAATATTTTCCACGAAACTCCGAGCAATCCCGGGTTTGATCCCTTTGTTGACGAAGAATTCCGGGTTTTGATCCTTGTAGATGTGCTCAAGCTCAAAGCCATCTGACAGGGTTATATCGCACGCCTGTCGGTATGCAGCTTTGAGAGTATCATCAGACACATTTGATGCAAGCCACTCACCGTATTCTCTGACGGCCACGTCTTTGAGACCAGGAATCTTCAGCGAACTCGCAAATATTGGCCCAGCTGTCTCAACAGCTGAATCCGTTGTGGCCACTCCAAGGGGGTGAACGTTGATGTTGATTGGTGAATGCGACATTTGGCTGCCAAGAATATTACCGCCTTTCTGCTTATCTTTTTCCTGCCTCTGCTGATCTTCCATGTAGAGCTCATCTCGGATTTCATCTGGGACGTCTCTATGCGTGTCTAGGATACCACCTTTTTCGGCATAGGTCACCAGACGCCTGAGTGATTGTGTGCGGAGTCGATAATGCTTCTTTCCAATTGGGTCTAGCCAGCAATAAGGGCCCAAGTGGCATGCGGCTGAATCACATTTCATCAAATCATACACGTGCCGCCAAATCGATTGCTGTCCGCATGCGTTTTCCTCAGCATCCAGTTGTGCATCTCGATCGTTAAGCATCCTCGTTGTGACGGAATATTTGCCCCTTTTTTCACCATTTCGTCCGGCGCGTTGCGAAGTGCCGTCTTCTACATAATTGAAACAGACTTTCAGCGTGAGTCTTTTTCCACGGCAGAAATGACTTGACCACATCATTAATTGTTTCTCAACAGGTGCCCAATCTACGTCCGTTTTGTTGAAACGCTTGTTCAGATCACGCTGGGTACGGTCACTGTTTGACACAACGATTGCAGTGTCATCGATCCGGACCCTTCTGTTGCGGGACACTTTCTCCTGGATGACGGTGTGTAGCTTCTGTTCCAAGAACAACTTCCAATAGGCGCCCGGGGCTAATACAACATCTTGTTCTGTATCTTTCACGACGGTCTTGTTGTTGAGGGTCACTCGCCATTCTATGAAATAGTGGATGCACATTGGTGGATCCTCGTCGTAGGCTTTCTCTGGCTCCCATTCAGGTTCTTGTAGCAGAGGTAAACTGCCGGGTCGAAGCTGGCTTGCAGGGCAATGGTCATTGTCGAATGGGGCGGACGGCGAAGAACTGCAGTTGGAAGGTGTAGCATATTCGCTCCGGAAGTATCCCGAAGTAGGGGGACAATATTGTGATTCCTGTTCCCATAGCTCGGAATCTTGGGGCTGTGGGATATAATTATCGTGGTAGGGACTACCGTTCATATTTACGACTGGTCGAAGCTCTGGAGGTCCGCTAGCATGAGGGGACGGGCGATGCTGGCTTTCGCAAGAAGCCCAAGGACGGATGGAAATTGCAATAGGAAACGAGGACCATAGGGAGCACAAACGAGAACCAATTTAGACTACCAACGTTAGTGCTCTGCGGAGTCTTCGTCGTGTATAACGATAATAGCTAGGGAGGAAAAGGTAGAAAGGAAGTGGACATGGGCCAGGCCAGATCGCCAAGTAGTCGTTGTCCTAGCAACCGCCATCCTTCCTAGAACATTCCATGGACGTATACGGTAATTAACAGTGTGTAATTTGACGCGGAATCTCAATACGGTATATACTGGAATACAGCTAAGCAGGGGTTGTGTTTCGAGTAGCCTAAAATGGTTAGCGTTGTTTCGGGTACAAGCCGCGAAACACAGCGCGAGTGTCATAAAGGGTAAACTGTTTTCGAAAATCGCTGTATGGTGCATAGAGATTAACCAATCCTGGATTGATTCTTCTTCCAATTGAGTGAATTTGTGGCCTATAGCTCTTGTGTCAGACCAACTAGTAATCCCTTTCATCCGGTTTTGTAGCGTAGACCGCGGGACCTCGAAAGAGCGAGCAGCAGCAACGGAGGCAAACCGGCCATCTTTGATAGCCTTGATTACTAGTAGGATTCTGCCTTCCTGCTCAACTGATTTTTGAGCTTTTTGACCGCGAATTGGCGGCATGGTAGGCGTTTGAAAATAGGAGGTTTGGTGAGGAGAAGAAAAATTGAGGTGCCTGCCGGAACGACCAGGAACTACGTTACAAATTGCTAGAAGGAAGGGGTAATAAAACACAGAGTTGTCATATATTTCTATTGGCTAGGGAGAACCACAATTCAAGATAATAGCTGAATATCTCCAAGCGCACTAATAAAATTCAAAAGATGAGTAATACGGCGAAACTTTAATACGCTTCGGCAAGCGCCTCACTCATGCCTTTGCGTTTCTCCTATTCTTTCTCCTTGCTTAGGCCTTTGGTCCCGAAATGATGACCACGCCGATCAACGAAGTCGCCGGCAATGAAACGTGCCAAACTATCGATAAGATAGCAAGCAACTTTATCTCTCAAAATCATGATAACACTTTAAGCCCTCTCAGGCTTGCCAATATCTCCATTTCAGAATTTTCGACCGCCTTGTCGAACCATTTATCGGTACTTAACGAGGGTGGCAGCATTGCCTTTGGTCGTGGAGAAGATCTGACCAGCAAGAGACTGAGCAAGAGCCTAGAGAGCCTCTTCTCGGTTACAACACCGTCCGTGAGGGAAGGGCCACCGCTGACCTGGACGAGGCTTGTTATATTTGCAGGTCCCCAATATGATGGCCCAGCGCAGCTCAAAGTCGGGGATTCTAGCGTCGAGCTGTCAGAAAATGATCTTAAACTCTTACGCTCTGGTAGGCCTTGGCGATTTCTCTTCCCTTGGCCAGACAAAGATGATTGCGACAAAGAACTTCAATTAAACGACATGGTTTTACAGGAGCTTGTTGATGCTAGGAAAACAATAGGCGAAGGTGAATGCCTGAAAATCTATCCTGCGACATTGCATAGGAAGCTAACGCCGACCATTATAGTCTTGGAGCAAATTTCGCTTGTTGCGCGACGTCTCCGGAATCACCGTGATCTAATTTCTCGGCTGTCCGAAAATAAGCACCATGCCAATCACCGAGGAGGAGCTCCAACATTAGACCATACTTTATCCTCTGTTCCAAATGAAGAGGTTTTTGGTCATGTTGCCTCGGCAGAAAATGAGAGCTCAGTCTACCGAGATTCACCATCCACCCCTACGACTATCCAGTATGCTAGCAATGACCAGTCGGATCAGCCGGCTAACATTGATCTAAATGATTTAGCTCTACCAGAAGGTGCCATTGCGAGGAACAACCTGCAACGAGATGGCTCGTGGTCCGAGAAAAATGCAAGACCAAGACTCAGGCTACATGCATCCGACTTCATTCAGATTTTGAGCGAGTAAGTGAAGCATCTATTGGAAAATCAATCCTGTTATCTCGTGAATTAATATATCAAAGGATCCTTGATGATCCTATGAATGAGGAAGTAATGCGTTGGTCAGAAAATGGGCAATCTGTCCTCGTCGCCCCAGAAAGCAAATTTCCTGCGCATATGCTTTCAAGGACGTCCTCTAAAAGCTACCAATCTCTCGTTCGGCGGCTTTATTACTTTGGATTTCGTAAGGTCGGGGGCGCCTTCCATCATGAATCCTTTAGTCGCGGTCAGTCCAGCTCCATACGACCGACTCGGGAAATGAGCCACAGCCCTTCACTTCCATCGCCTTTATCCAATAGCACTTCTCAACGTGGGCCTCGGTACAAAATCATCAAAAGAAGGCGGACGACAGAAATTGTTTGAGAAATGCCAAAAGGATCAAATTTCAAAGCATGCTAGAAATTGGCCGAGAACTGCATGGAGCTTGGTCCCAGCGGGGAAGGAGTTTTCGAAAAGGCGACCATGGTCGCGTGAGCCAGGTCCATCCACCAGTGGTGGCTTTGTAAGTCTAGCGTGGTTTTTCTGGTACGAGTGACTCCATGACTGAATTTCCATGACCTTCCAGATTAGCTCAATTTTTACAGCAATGCCTGTACATATCAACAGCCGTGAAGCGCTGTCAGTCAGTCAGCTGGGGTGATCTGCGGGACCCTCATGGTGTATATGGCTTCCCCTGAACGCGAGGAAGGTACCTTTTCTTTGCTTCCTCGCGCTACGTCTTGTATCTAGAGTCAACATAGTTGTTCTTAATATCAATTGTTCATATCGAGAAATCATCCCCCTCTATGTGCCCTTGAGACCCTCACAACCGTTCCAAAAGTTAACAAAACTATCCATAGGAATCTGGCCTTCATTACCTGGGGTGTAGGTACAAGACCCCAGACGCTACGTCGGGATTCCTAAGGGCTGTATGGCTCCTAGAAGCGACTGATATGCTCCCAGAAACCCCACCAAGGCCTCCGGGAGCGAGAGACCTCCCATGGCCAAGAGGTGTGTTTCTAGGGCTGGTGGAGCCGTCAACAGGAACATGACTTGAACTAATGAAAATGGAGATGGAGAGTCCTACAAGCTATGTCCGATTTCCTGGGGCTTTGTAGGTCCTGGAATCGGCTCACGTATCTCCAGGGTCGGTTCTTTAAACTCTTTACGAACACCATGGTCGGTGGATATCTAAGAATAGAGTCCCGACCGTCAGGTTACGATGCTGGCATGAACCATGGTATTTTCTGATCAACCCACAGTGATCGAAACTGAATTGAGCGGGCTATCCGCGGGTCATACGATTGGAAACACTCTATCACGAGTGTGACAGCCAATCGATGCATCGCAAATTGATCCACCGCTAGGAATTGAGGATCCAGTGAATACAAGGAAGCTCGAGAATGAACCGAGGAACACGCTTCGGTGACAAGAGGGTCAATTAGGAAATTGCGGGGCCGATCATGATACGCGCCTAAACGAATTTTAGTAACGATGACGATTGGATCCCAAGGATGCTTGAGGCAGTCTCGGAGGCTTAGTTGTGGCTGTTAAGAGGCTTGTTCGGTATTGTAATACCATGGATGCTTCAAGTTGTAAGCCACTTACAGGCGGTTAAAGCCATTTGTCAGAACGGTGAATTAATGCACTAGCTAGTACTAAACATGTCCAATACAATCAGATGATTGATTGAAGGTCTTGATATCGTTTGAATGATCTCAGGGGTCTATACAATCGACCTTCGGCGTGTTACCCCAACGCACTTCCGAGTCTGCCCGAAATACCACAGTAATACTAGGGAATTGGGTAAACGACGACTCGTCATGTGAATCGGGCCGGTTCCACCGGTTCTTGTCACTAGCGTGCACCGCGCCACCGAGTTCGAAATGCAACTTTAACGTCCTCCCGGGTCTTCCAGGAAAAAACCACGTGAGCATTGTCTATGTCGGCTGTCTTGCAGTATGAGCTGTGTAAATACAGCTGCATCCTTCCTCTCTTTCGTTCCTTCGATATAGAATTGGTGGGCATGGGATCTTGATCGAACCCCATGGTCCCAGAAACATCTCCCAACACGCCCGCCGCCCTCTAGGTCATGACATCATGGCGCCCGCGCCCTCGCAGCGACAGCTCGCCGCTATCTCAGTCACGGAGCGCGTCTGCTCTTCCATCTCGCTGATTGGTACCTTTATTATCATAACTAGTTTCATCGGCTCGCGCTCATTTCGGAAACTAATCAACCGCCTCGTGTTCTATGCATCTTGGGGCAATATGATGGCTAATATAGCCACGATGATTTCTCAATCGGGGATCCACGCCGGGGCTAGGAGCCCTTTGTGCCAGGTTCAAGCTTTTTTGATTCAGTGGTGAGTTTATTTTTTATTTTTTATTTTATTTTTTCATTTTTTTTTCATTTTTGGTTCAATCGGTGCTTATAGTCCAGTGCGTATCTAATGGCAGGTAGGTTCATGCCCGCTGACGCTTTGTGGGCCTTTGCCATGGCGTGCAACGTCTACTTGACATTCTTCCACAAGTATAACTCAGAGCAACTGCGCCATATCGAGTGGAAGTATGTGGTGTGTTGCTACGGCTTTCCCTTCATCCCATCCTTCATATATTTCTTTATCCACGCCCAGGCCCGAGGCTGGGTCTACGGCGCCGCAATTGTAAGACCACCTATAGAACCACGTACCCTTTCTTCAACTTCTATAAAGCCCTAATATTCATTATATAGCTCTGGTGCTGGGTCGCATTGGCTTGGGACTACCTCCGCATCGCTGTCTTCTACGGCCCTGTGTGGTTCGTCATCTTCCTCACCTTTGCCATCTACCTGCGCGCCGGGTCCGTCATCTACCAGAAGCACTGCGAGCTGCGTAACCTCAGCAGTATCGAGTCCCTCGGCTCTGACACCCAGCCCGATGGCCCGCTCGTCACACACGCCGGGATCCAGATTACCAGCGAAATCGCCTGCTTCGCGCCAATGCACCGGTCCCTGTCGGCCAGTGATGTCCCCACCTGCAGCTTTACGGCCTCCTCGTTTACTCCGTGCTCCATCCCGTCCGAGGGTGGCCCGATCGATTCCTTCAGCATGCTGCAGAACTTAGAGGAAGGCTCCTCACCTATTCAGGGCCCTAGTCGCCCCTGGCCGGACCCAAGTCCGCTCCGCGCAGAGGTGTCTGCCAAAGCGGCGCGGCACGAATGCGGGGGCTCATATACGCAGCGGCGGAAGGCCACAGAGGCGAGCTGTGCGGCGTGGGCGTATACTAAATATGCGATGCTGTTCTTCATCGCACTGCTTGTGACGTGGGTAGGTGGTTACACTCAATTAATTCAATCCAATTCAGCACAGCGTCCACGTCTAATTAGTACAGGTTCCCTCCACGGTCAACCGAGTATACGCGTTCGCCCGCCCCGACGACTTCTCGTTCGGGCTCTTCTATGCGTCGAGTTTTGTGCTTCCTTTGCAGGGGTTCTGGAATAGTCTTATTTACGTCTCGGTTTCGTGGCCGGCGTTTAGAACGCTGTGGAGGGATCTGCGGAGCCGCTCAACGGGGTTGCGAAATATTTGAGAGCGAATTGATGGCACGGTGGGTGGTTAAACTAACTACGATCTAATTGATGGGCACTAAACCAGTGAAGCAACGGCGCCTATACATAGAAAACGAGTCAGAAAAAGGGCGTTCCAACCAAGAAAATTCTCGGCGACGGTTTAGGGGCTGACCTTCCGCTTGTAAGCATCCAGGCTATCGGTATCAGCTTGGCCAAATGAGCCCAGAGGCTTCACGATATCTTTGCTATCTTCTGGGGGAAAAGGAGAGAACCCATGAATATGATCATTTCTAATCTTTAAAGCACTGCACAGCTCGTTCGCTGTCATTGCAACGGGGACAGTGGCTACCATGCCCCCATTATAATTATCAAGAGCGTTTCAATTGGCTTTAAGCCTTCCGGTCAGGGTAGACATATGGGCGAGGGTTGTGCTTGTTTGGGTTGTCGCCGGTACGGCAGAGATTGCCAAGGAAATAACCAGCAACAGTCTTTCATGAAATCCCATTCCGTAAACGCAGAGAGAGATCCAAGCAAATAATGGACAGCAAGGCGCAGGAAAACAGAATTCGGGGGTTTATTACGTGGGGAGAACAGCGCTTCAGTGATATCGCCGTGGGTAAAGGTTAAGAATTGAGGAACAATGTACCCTGAAGCCATGGGTTATGGGGCGCGCAAGCTCGTCCTGAAGCAGGTGCTCCAACATACGCAAAACAATCAAAGAGAACGAGATAGTGAAACTGATGTCGATCTGCACTAAATACCAATCGATAGAATGCCTAGCAGAGTAAGCTCCTACAAAGAGAGTTCATTTTGTCGAACTAACCTATCTTGCACTGTAGACCTATCTTCATACTCATTTTCTTGCAAGATAGTTTCATGTATTAACGATACATGAACGAAGCGAGAGATTGCGGCATACCATGGGTGTGTATGTGCGCCCTGTACCCATCTGAGCTAACAACGTCTATGGGGCATGGGACGAAGTCGTCGCATCCAATCCAATCGAGTTGCCTCTCGCTCGGAAACCGGATGGTCCCGGCGCGGGCCTTTTTGGCACCCTTTCTTTGGGATTTGCCAAGCTGTCCTGCTAGGAGCGTAACACGCGAGCCATGGGGTCGACGATGAATCCTCACTCGAAGGATTTTGTTGGCTCGCCGCGAAGAAGGTGGGCTCGGCGAGTCAGCGCGAATATTGCGACCGGCATTTGTATCATGGCGAGTGGCCATCTTTGATGATGGAAGCTTTGAGAAGTCACACAGCAATGGCGTCAGATCGCACTCGCTTGCTAGGTTTTGGTGGCGCAGCCGGCGAACTGTTGCAGTGTTTGCCATCCGAACAGAGAAACGGCAAAGGGAAATGACATCGACCTGACCCTGTCCATTATATATCTCAGATGCCATGGTGAATATTTTGAGAACTATCTTGATGAACCTTACAGTCTGCTAAGTGGCATCAGTTTTCAACCCGCCATCAAGTCACTATGGGTTCCGCCGGAGTTTTGAAGGCAGGAATGCGAGGCAGCGTGAAGAGGACCCAACTAAATATGTTCTGCTGTTTTGCTACCAAATCGCTATTAAAGTGATGATTAGCAGAAATTGAGGGTCGCGGTTGTGTTCACGCGTCTAGTTCATGAGGCCTCAGTAGGTGAAAAGTCTTACTGGGTTTTGGTTAGAGCGCCTGAATCATCTTGCACCTCATATATTACTTTGACCGTGTCTATAACATGGGGCGTCCCGATTTTGTCTAATAACTTGCAACTGATTCTCAACTAATCCGGAACTAATCCAGGTTTCATCACAAACTTTGATCTCATCCAATAGAAATCGACAACTGGGAAAGTGGGGCGCCCTACCCATGGGCAACACTTTCTACCTGAGCAGAGCACGAATCATCGATCCTACACCGAGCTAGTCTTTGGTGCAAGTCGGTCACCTAAACATAAATACCTGCGGGATCTCCCTTAATCCATAGATACCAAACGTACACCACAATGTCTAAAAGCAGCAACGAAAAGCGTTTCAAACTAAGAAAGCAATGTCGAGAAGCCCTGGCGGCTCATATATGTATTTGTAATCCTATTTTGCCTACCAACCCAGCTAATCCTCTTAGATGACCGACTTCGCCTTGTCGTCGCCCCCGAAAGAGTCCGCCTTCAACCACGGCCTGAAGATGGATACGCTTGGTCCGTCGCGAGAACGAATGCTGGTTTGCTCAAATCCAGTCTAAGTAGCGGCTCGACCAGTCTTTACCAGTTGATTTGCAGAGAGCTCGGTCGCTCACTCGAGGCTGTCAACCCGCAGTCCAATACTGGCGGCCTTCCAAATAAGGTGAGCCCTTTGCCAGTTGTCCTCAATATAGCCCTTCTGACGGAGCATGAAGGCACAGGACTTCAGTGAAGGAATAGTGGATGGTTCTTTCACGGCGGAGATTTGCGAGCTCAAGGCTACCAACAGCTGCATAGAAGAGGAATTAGGACGCACGCGTTCTCGACTGGATGACTGTCTTCGCGAATGTCAAACGCTCCGGTCTGAGGCCAATGAACTTCGCCACCACATTCAACTTCTCCAGTCGCAAAATAAGAACTTGCATGATGAGCTAGTGCAAAAGAGAGTGGGTATCGCTGGAGCAATACAGGCATTGAGTTCGTTGCAAACAGAAGGAATCGATATTGCACTTGACACCCATGGGAGCCGATGATCAGCCATTGGGGCTCATGTGGTAACGAGCTCGGCCTGAGCTCGGCTAAAGAGCAGACGACGGATCAATGATATGCTAGAGCGCACCGAATATGCCATTTGTCATCCATTGCATAGCGTGCATACCACCGGTGATACGCGATGCCATTTGCCAACAGGCTTATCCAGATTCAAGCCGGCGCCAATGTTTTAGCAAAGAAAATCTATCAATACTTTTTGAAGGAAGACCGCCGGCGAATGAGTAATAGCAGTCTCGAGCTGGGTGCTTGACAGACACTATTTTCTGAATGATATATGCTGAGACCAATGACGTGTGTAGCTTAGAAGGATAATTGTAGCTTGGTTGGTTTTCGTGGATTTTACTTGTGATTGCTATGTTGTGTCTGAAATTTCCAGTCAATGAGATATTCGGTCTATTGAGGGTAGAAGTGATAGTCAACTTCGTTCAATCAACGACATACTTGGACCTGTCAATTTCATCGCAGTATCAAGGCAAGTTCTGGTTTCTGCTACAAATATGCTTTGGTGGTAGAATTACGGATCCTTGCGCCTCAGTAGTGTCTCTTGATGAATACCCCAACTAGCAAGAAATGCATCTATAGTTGTTCCACAGTAACATCGAGGAAACAATGGTCAATGATACATGTACTTGCCAATCGAAACTCATGTGTAATCACAAGTAACCCCTTGTTTTAATCCATATATATGCGGACGTAAATATTAGAATTTGCGAGAACGCCGCAGTTTCCAAGTTTCAATCTACGGAGCGGCGACAGTCACAAAATATTGTTTTTTGGTAGATAATATTGAGCCCTATAGCATCTGGGTGGTATCTCGAGACCGATTGAAATTTTGTCATGAGATAGTGTTGTCTGCATCAACGTGCATCTTTGTGCGGAACTGTTGATCGCGTACTCCACGATAAAACAAAAGGTATTTTGTGCGTTGCGCTTACGCCCAGTCCTCAATAATTGGGTTTATGTCCCTATTTTTGGCACAGCTGCTGGGCAGGAGGGAGAGCACATTCATTTATTTCAAGTCTGTGCCTAGGGCTACACCTACTGCTATAAATATCATCTTCTCGACCGTCACTGTCGATAGTTCTTTCAACCATTCTACATCCCATTGGATAATTGCTCATTTTACGATCGAGCCAATCCATCATGGCAAAGCATCACAAGCCCTCTGGGGAGCAGACAGGCCACAGGTCTGACGAAGTACAGCTGCGCGCTGTACCGTCGTGTGATTCCGTTCGGTCTACTGCCTCCAGATCCAAAGATGGGCGGAACCCCCTCAAACCGGTGACTAGGTCGCACAAGTATACGGTACCAACCTCCACCTTCTTTTTCATATGCTCTGACTCCTTCTTGACCAACACTATGCTGGCGGCATAACTTGATGTGCTCTACTAACTATGCTAGGCCTCCTGCATCACGAAAAAGCCTGGACGGAAGCATGATAAAGTGACCCATAGAAAATGTCTCCAGATGATGAGCAACATCGAGGAAGAGATTCAAAAAGGACAAGAACAAATGGACAAGGACAGGCGAAAGCATTGTCTGTAGCTGGAACAACTTGGAACCGAGAAAGCCGAAGAAAATTCGAGATTGCAGCTGGCTCTCACAGCACGGGATGCAGCATTAGCCGAGAGTCAGCGGGTCGAGCGAGAAGTCTCTGAGTTGCAGCAGCAGCTGAAGTCCACAAACGCCGCTCTGCAGGACCAGGTCCCGTGGAATAATATTCAGCTGGTGTTGGATCAGGCACACGGAGACCTGGTGTCGACGACCACTCGATTTTGGAACACGGTCGATGCCCTTCAGAACAGACGACTGGCATCTTATTTGCCCAGCTCTGGTCATTCACGCAGACTGGCTCGAGCACGGAGGCGTGGCTACTCAGGGCGACGATTTCCCCCTCAGCTTCTCCGAACCGACTGTCCCTCTTCGGGAATTGGGAGAATCGGAAGGCATTCGCCCTGGCACCCTTGCAAGCGCCGCTAAATTTGATTATCGAGGACAGAAGAAACTGCGGTCAACCATCACAACCAGATGTCAAAGAAAGACCCAAGGGAAAGACCCTTGATTCTGTACACCGATGGAAGCGGAATTTATGGAAGGATCGGAGCAGCAGCGGTCGTCGACCTAGAGGATCAACATGCCCACAACCAAATGGGAGACGACAGTACGTCCACCGTCCACCGTATATGCGGCAGAACTTCGAGCCATCCAGATGGCACTTGAAATGGTCCTCGAAAGCCCAGAACTATGGGCTAAGCAAGCGAAGAATTGGTGGTCATCTTTGTAGACAGCCAAGCAGCGCTGAAGGTGCTCAGGCGACCACGGATGCCATCGGGACAGGTCTATCTAGCAGGATGCCTCGGCCTGATCCAGCGGCTTGCGGGCAGAGACGTCCGGATAGAACTCAGATGGATTCGTGCGCACCAAGGGGTCATTGGTAACGAGATCGTGTACCAACACGCGAAAGAAGCAGCGCAAGAACCGGACGGCCCACAGAACCCTCTCAACCGAGGGACATGTCTCGCAGCCGCAGCGAAACGGCAAATTCGCAGAAAAAGCGAAGCTGGAGTGGGACAGGACGTGGGCCAAGGAAACGACCAGTCGACCGATGAAACGCTTGATTGATACACGAACAAAGAAGACGCTAGAATATTGGTCGGGCCTGCGAAAAGCGACGACATCGATTATGATGCAGCTTCGTACTGGGCGAATTGGCCTAGGAGCTTACCTGAATCGTATCAATCGACGTGTAACAGCGCGGTGTGGTTGCAATCTTGGCAGCCAAACAGTGACACGTCCTGCTGGAATGTCCCTTGCACCAGGACGAGCGAGACTGGATGAGAAGCACTCTCTCCGACAAAGGAATCGCTCTCCATCGAGACGAACTCCTGGCAAGGCCCGAGGCCCGCACAATTGTGGCTGAATTCATGGTCAAGACCGATCTTCGGGGCCAATTTCAGACAGTCGATCCTACAGCTCTAGGCGAGGAGGAAGGGGATGACACAAGAGCAGAGGTAACGACCCCCCAGACAGTGTGACGGAAGAAAAAGGATGGCTTCCATTGGGAGTGCAGTGCCAGATCCACTGTACTCCCTTGATCTAAGCGAGCACGCAAGCGGCAGCAGCCGACAAGACTGGACGGATGGAGGGAAGTGGGCGTGGGAACGGTGTGTGTTGAAGCGGAGCCTGGTCCTACCCGCGACCAGGGGTAAAAACGACGTTCATTTTGGCCTTGTGTTTATCATGTTTGCATCCATGCATTTCTTTTGTTCATTTTACATCTTTCAATTCGAGGGCGATTGATCGGAAATTCGCATAGCGGCCCAATGGTCGCCCGGGGACTGGCACCCTCTTTCCAGCTGTCGGCAGGCCTGACAGCACTCCCGTATAGCAGGATATATGTAGAGCGAGCTACATCGGGCAAATGAATACATCATCATCATCATGCTTTCAAAATACTAGGATGTGCCATAAAGAATGTAGTATGACTCGTGTTACCGTGCCATCCTTACCAAGGTGCAACCAAAAGGTTGCGTGGCCCGCAAGCGGACAATGCGCGGCTTGGTTGCTTATTTAACACCAAAGGTATGACCTTATCTGAATAAATCTGCTCCGCAATAGAGCTCGAAATTTCACTCGTTTGAAAGAGCGCTTAAAACTTCCCGATACCACAGATATGAAGAGAGACAACCACGGTCTGCGCACTCATTTTCCGTCTTCGGAGTACGTCGGTTTTCCCGATGAGTCCCCTGAAGAGTATTTGGGGAAAAGAGCTGCTAGCTTCCACAAACAAACCACGTCAAAACACCTGGAGAGGGAAACATCAAAGCTCAGAGATGCACTACGCGTGTTCAATTCTTTCCGATTTAACATTCCTCGTACCCAATGTGAAATTTTCAAAGCCATACCCCGGTTGGTTGCAGGGACTGTGGATGCAGGACCATGTTCACAGGCACAATCAGAGCATGAAGTTGAGAGCCGGCATTTGGATGCCGAATCAAGGAATATCCGGGACCTCCTTACAGTTTTGGAGCGCTTCAATGCTGAATTGCTGAAGAGCCAAGAGATTATGAACAAATTTATTACGGCTCAAGTTACACCTATCACCGACCGATGTTTATCCCTACGGCAGGCTCGATTCCCCAGCTTCAGCTAGCATTTTCTACGAAAGAGTAGGATTTCTCAGTCCTGCAATGGCAAATTGCTCGTGCGTTGGGGTAGAAATCACTAAAGATGACGTTGAGCATCACTTGAAAGACGGAGACACATCATTTCCTGCACTTATATCTGTTTCAACAACCCCAGCGAGAATCTATAATATCAGCAAAAGACCAAGTTTCCGTGACGAAAGAAAATGCTATGTCTATATTATAGACCCTGATTTACTTCAAACGCTCGGCGTCACTTGCCACTCGACCCCAGATCTTGTCAAAGAGCTGGGAATTATGAGATATTCTCTCAGCAACCAGGGCGGTGCGCAGTACGTCACGCCAAGTCACCATATTTGCCATGCATCTATTCCTGCTGAAGCTATAATTATAAAAATGCGGTTGGATGTATATTACCTGTTCCTTGAAAAGACAGGGATTACAAAAGGTATGTCTTCAGATCACCTGTGGAGATGGTACCGTATGCTCACATTTTCAAAAGATAGAACTCTGCTTGATACTTCGTGCATCAAAAAGCCTACTGTCCAAGATTACCTTGACTTCGTTGGAAACCACAATAAGACGTATGCTGCAAACTCTGGGGTGGTGTTGGGACCCGCGGCAAACGGCTTTCTTTCCTCCCAGGGGCACTTTGTCGATATCGATGTCGCATCTCTAGCGACAAAGATGTCAACTCTTCAAGTGCCAGTTTAGCATATGGTAGACTTTTGAAATCATCATATTCCGATGCAGGCAATGGACATGGTCTCGTGTACTGTGCCAAAGAGAGGCCACCGAACATTTTGCCCGTCTTTCTGTACTGCGTGGGAGAGATGTGACACCACCGAGAGTGACGAGACAATCAAATTGGGGAAAAGTAGGGCGCCTATTGACTCGATACAAATTGTATGGGAGGGGAATGAGACAAACTTGACACAGCAAAGTCCAAAGTCTTATGAGGCCGCAATAGCAAGATGTTATTTCGCTCTACGTCAGCGCGCAGTATAGTTCGGTGGTTTATCCTTTATGGAAGGAATTCGAGCGTTCTACCCCCTCAAGAAGATCGCTCCGCTAATAATCGACCATGTGTACCTAAATCTCAAGAAATAGGCTCGCAGTTGTTGGAATCCTCTTGCTTATTGCTGATGAGCTTCCAATTCATCACTCTTTTTCAATTAACCACTCTATCCGAATTTATCACTCTCCCTCAAATCACAACTTTCTCTCGATTAAGGTCCACCCCATGCTTCTTTTTCTCTCATACTCAACTGCCCGTCATGGTTGAAGTTTGTCTGATGGTGCGACTCATATTGCTGCCACTCTCGCAACATCCAGAGCCTCCCTCAAGCGCTCTGCTTTGGCTATCAAATCGTTCCTTCTGCTTGCCGTGATGAAACTCTCACCCGCAAGTTCCGCCAATTGGAGCTCGGTAAGGCTACCTACCAAGTCAGGTGAAAGAACCTTCACAGGTCCATCATCACCTAATAGGTGCCTTTCTGTTACTTGCATAACAACATTATCCGTGAAACGCTTTATGGCCACTTTGTAGTAGGCCTTCAGCATGTCATGAATATCGTAAACCGCCTGATCATCATTGCTAAGGTGGACACTTTTCAGAACTTTCTCCGTGTCGAAAGGAACACCATCATTGAAACCAAGACCTTCGAGTCTCGCGAGGACTCGTTCTCGACGGATTGAAGAAAGGGTATCCGCATAATAATGATTCACAGTCTGCAGGACACCTCCTCTTTCGTCATTGAGAATCCGCTGAAGACAGTCGAGCGCTTGGTGCTTGTTTTCTTGTTCCCGAGGCGAGAGAAGCGCTCTGAGATTTTCTCTCACTTCATCATCAGGAACAATTGATTTCAAGACATGCGTGTTAAACGCGCAGACTAAGTCTGCAATAGCGCCGATATAAATTTTCCCGAGAGCTTCCCAAGGGCTAGATTGCTGACGGAACATGTTTTCGATCACCACCGGGTTGACAATACCAGGAAGTTCTGGTCCTCGGGAGTCAACATAATAGCCCCGAATCCATTCATATATATTCTGGGTTTCTTGTTCTTGTCGCTTGAAGTCGGAATCAATCTTCCCTTGGATCGTACGAAATAATTTCGCATGGCCCTTGCGCGACATCAGCAGCGCGAACTGGTCATTGAGTTTCCGTACATGCATTCGAAGCTTGAGTGGACTCTGCGCATCTAAAGCTTCATCGTAGTTTCCATTTTGCGCCTTGTGAACTTGGCTTTGGTACGCACATACGAGGCGCATCAAAAACCGTCTCTGGTCTGAGGCAGATTGACGGGGAAGGCCCAAAAGCTCCAAATCCTTTTCTGTCTCGCTTGATAGACCTTCGATATCTTTGATAACAGCCGGGAATTCAGAACGGATATGATCATAGAGGAGGTGACCCAAGAAGCCCTTGACGGCATCGATGCCAACCCGGTTTTTTTGGAGGCTTTTCCAGGGATGGGCCTGGGCGAAGAAATCTTTTTCTATCCGGTGCCGCCCCTCGACAGTTACGCCTTCGTTTATTTCCTTCGTAGATCGATTCCGCACAGCAAACCAGCCGTGAGTAAGTTTTTCCACTTGGTTTTGTGCAATGCGCAACACCTCATTTACAGTAAGTAAAATACTTCCACATCGGCTGAAACACTTACCCCATCTTCATCTCCCTCCTGGAGAGCGTCACATTTGGTGATGATGCCGACGGTTCGTTTTCCGGCTGGGTCAGCGGCACGTGCCATAGAGAATCTATCAGGTATCAGCAGTTGTTGTTTATTATGCTAAAAAGGTTCTTACACTTCCTGGTTGGCAAGATTGTTCCTTGCGTCCATGACAGCCCTAGAAATTAAAGTAAGCCAAACAGATCGCTTAGCGCCTTTTTTCAAGCACAGTTGACCCACAAAATGATGGTGCGACCATCCGTAATATAGTCTTTAATCAGTTTTCGGATAACAGCCCGGTCCTCTTCCGTTTGGAATTTGGTCACATCTTTAATAGAAATTAGCGCAAGGACTAGAATATCGCTATCGTTTTCGTACTATGAAATAAGCCTGGAACATCCACGACACTGAGGTGCCGATGGTTTGGCCCCGAAAGCTCGACCTTAAGGATGTCGCCTGAGAACCTTTTATCAAGCTTTTCAAAATCGATTGTTTTGGGTCCAGGAACCCCATACAACTAGCGGCCTGTCGACATATTAGGATCCTTTTTCATTATTCAGGCATGATACTGACCTCGTCAAAAATATTCCCAAATTCTTGACATCCAAACTCTGAGGCTGCGAGGCTTCTTTCGAACCCAAGAAGGCGCTGGGTCAATGCTTCATCCTGTCGTGAAGTTGGTCCCGGGATAATCGTAATTCTTGCTCCTGCATCTTCCATGAACGCTCTTCGCAGAACAATTTGCGTAGCAAACCTTGTACAGAGATCACTCGCTACAGGAAATGAAAGGCCAGTCAGGCCTTCCAGAAGGGATGACTTTCCGCTCGATTGATCACCAACCACAACAAGCTATGGATTTCACTTAGTGAAGTTCTTGCACAACACGATTTTACTCACCTGAGGGGGAGAGATGTTCTCACTAATTCCCAGCTCTCGCAGTTGATCGATAATCCCTAAAAGTCGTGCTCGCTGTTCATTGTCCAAACCATCTGCCGTGGTAAGATCTATTGCCTCTCTTTTGGCCATGTTGGCTGCAAATGTCGAGGGACCGGTTGATATTTCGAATGCTTTGTTCATGTGCAATGATTTCATTCTCGGTCGTAGGAATTCCTTGATTTTTAACTCTCCCTAAATATTTGAGTTTATCATGAGGCAATCCTAGCAGCAGAGTGGAAGGCTGCATTACTCCCTCATACAACATTCTTTGGCTGGTTTAATATGTGACTTACAGGCATGAAACCAATTTCACCACGGTGAAAGTAGCACCGGAGCATTCCACGGTACCCTAGATTCTATTTTGACCAGAACTCCACAAGGAAAACCCATCTCGAAAATGCAATGACCAGGTCCTTGTTTACTGTATCCACCATGCTTGCTTGATGAAGTCGCCGAATACTTACGCTGCGAGGAAAGTCAAAGATTTATGCTATTCGTTCAAGGGGAAGAACTTATCAATTGCCTCAGACACAAAGCCTGCTCGACTTTGCGTAGTCAAGTGATTGAATTGTAGAGCAAATTGCTAGGAGTAGAGGATGTATTTATAGACTTCTCGGCTCATCTTGTCGCGTAAATGCTCTGCTTGGTAGAAAGCGTTGAGGGATACCTCTATTAATTGAGGCCCGTTGAAACCCACGTCTTCTTTTTACCACAATATTGCAGCGACATTCTTGATGCCTTTAGATCCTCAGTGAGAGCGACAATTTAGAGTGGTGTTGAGAAAAAGGGATGCTGAGTATTCCAAGAAACGTTGGCTCACTGCCGAATCCTTCACGGCCCTCTTAAATTGAGGCACTGAATATTATGTCGATAGGGGTGGTGTTTACCACTAAGGACAGGATTATTCATCAAGTACCCATTCCCTCTTTGTCTCTGTATGGTAAACGGGGTACGCTCGGCATACCAGCGTTGTAACACGCTAGGAACGACTCCTGAGATCTGATAACGCTTCAACAGCAAGATCCAGACAGAACAACAATTAATGCATCTCAATGGGACACCTCAATACTAGCACATACCAGTATCCGTCAATCCGACATATTATTCAATCAGCAAGGACAGGCTTATATTTCTTGTTCTGATACCTCACCTGTGAGTGACTCAACGTTGAATCACCGAAAAGCGCCTACAATTTCATCCCGAGGAGTACGGATTTCTTTTTCCTTAACCTCCCTTTAGTGTGGTGTTGGTTGTGTAGAGCTATGGGTCTGACCGTCTAGACTTCAGAAAGCGAGGTCACGGTCGGTCAACCCGTTGAAGCTTGGCTATACATAGTTGTCAACACTCGATTTTTGAACGTCTAAACATGAACCTAGACACTAAAATTTTTAGATTTTTTAGATTTTGTTTTCTTTCTAAACTTCTTTTTTTGATAATTACAAGTTGTACAATGTTCCATTTGTCGCATTTCTGAGGCGTTCAACGAAACGGAAAGAGGTGTCTGGTTAAAATATGTATCATCGACAAGCGTGGATCTCTGACCGTCAACATTGAGAGGCTTGATCGGTTTCCCCGACCGACTTTCACTATTGTTCAATACACCGTCAACAGCCCGCCTAAAACTAACAAAACTTTTGTCAAAAGTTGACTGCATTAATTAACAGTTGGGGTAATCGTAAAATCCACTACATAGTCGCCTGCGTCTGCGTAGTCTATAAAACACGAAGGATCGACGGAAATGGTATTGTCCAGACCCGTGACTTTCTCCTGCGGACAAAATGGAGTCCCCAAACAGCTCGACAGGCCAGGGAAAGAAGGAGATCAGCAGCCCAGTGAATTTCCTATCCTTGATGAGAAAGACAAATCACAGGAAAATTCTGACCATGTGCCATTGGTAAGTGAAATGATTCGGCTTCAAACGCTTTTGCTGGCCATTGCAGCCCTCTCTTCGCAGTTGGAAGCAAGAACAAGACACACCCTGACGACCGATCCATTTCAATCGATCTTGAAGGTTCTAGCAGACCTCGAGCGCGACGATCCCATGTTCGCCTTTCCAGCAGCTTGACTTGTCGGAATTTATCGACGCCTATGGGAGTCGTGCGTGTCCAAGCACATGGATGGCCAGAAGCTAGGGCAGGAAAACATGGTCTTGAAGGAGGCTGATACGAACCTGAGACAAAAGAGGGACGGTCTTCAGCTTCACCACGACAAGCAGCTATCTCGGCTACGCTTTTTCGAGCAGGCACTGGAATCATGCCGGGAGATCGTATCTAGTAATTGTCCGTATACCAGACAGAGATTCTACGTGGCCGTCTCAACCTGGGGTAGGAAGAACAGATGCTCTCCTGTACTCTAGCCAGATTTTCGGTTGAATTGGACTAGTATTAGCTCTATCAATTGCAATTCTTTAAGGAAAGCGAGCGCTAGCATGTGGAGGAAAATGCCGCTGAGTAGAGATGGACAGGGGATCCGAACCGGTCCACTTGAAGCTGGGCAGTTTTCGTGATTGGAGTGGGAAAATCATTCGATCAAGGACAATCCTTGAGTCTCATATCCTGCGGCCTCGTCTTTGTTTGAGAAAACCTGCCGAGGATCATCAGGTCAGTGTCGGCATACCAGAGGACTCTTGCCAGATAGCGTGAAGGTCAAGATCCAAATCGTATTCTACACTGATGTGAGCACAAACTAGTAATCCAGACAAAGAGTACAGACTCCTTCAAATCTTGCAGTCCATTTGCATCCAAGACTGACAATTAGGTGCTGTTCCATGGTCGTTCGGCATTCGGCCTTGGTCGGAGTCCGAGGGCTTCATATCCATCATTCTCTTTCCTTAATATTCCGCCTTCGCTGCTAGACGAGTCCTTATAAAGCCAGAACACCTTTTCTTCTAGTTTTATTCCCAAGTACACTTTCACGCATTTAACCGTTCTATATAAAAGTCACATCACCAGGAATGCTCACTCTCAACATCGCCTATACCGAGCTAGTCAACAGCTCTGATCCCTTGATCCCAATCTTGTCTCGAGGACAAGTCTGGAACGGCCTAAAGTCGAAGGCCCGACGCCCTCAAAACTTCATCCCCTCCTTCGATGACTCCCGAGTCATCGAAGAACGAGATGATGGTTCCTACATCGTGAGGGCGTTACATGTTGCGGCTGATCTCAGCGAATCTCCTATGGCTGGAAAATGGACCAGGGAGGAATGCAAATTGCATGAGCCGGTCAAGGTGAGAGAGCCCGAACATAAAACACCCCGGAATGTCTTAAAAGCCTCGAATTAGTCATCAAATGGTCTAACCAGAGAGTAGGCTTACTTCAAGCTACCTGGAGGGTCGATAATTCAGAATATCCTTTCCGAAGGACCTGATCAAGCTCTGTATCTCACGTTTACGTATGAATGGAAATTACCTAACTAATATCGAGCCTAGGACGAAAGAGGCAAAAAGGGGCATGGGATGACCACATGAAAATTGCGATATCCTCGGTTCAAGGAACAATCAAGGCCTTGAGAACTATGGCAGAAGTGAAGAAAGTGTGAATTATGGAATATAGGTATGAGAAACGAAGAGGTAAAAGAATACAAATTTTGTAGGGGTGCACACGAATAATCACTTTACGAATACCCTAAAGTTTTATGAATAAATGACAATTCTAAGAAAATACAGTACGCGCTAGTACGAAAGGACAATTGGTAGGTTCCGTGATATATATTGAGTGTGTTCTGTTAAGCTATCTAATGCAGCAAATATTTAACGTATTCGGTAAGCGAGCGGCGCATGTAAGCCCCACAGTCTCGAAAACATAATTTCGGCGTCTGTTGAAGCATTCCAACCCTCATTGAAGAGACGATGACCGTGGCGAAAATCTATGTTCGTCGCAATAGAGTAGCAGTGACCTGGAATGAGACATACCACAATACGTGATCATTTCAGCTTTACAAGTGTTGGATGTTAATGCACCTAGATATGCTGTTCGCAGTTTCATGTTTCAGCTCGTGTAAATCTTTAATCGACAAACATTGATAACCTGACTCTTGGAATGAATATATTAATTCTGGAAACGCCAAAATCCATCCAAGGAGCTGTTTATTCCCTGGGAACTCCTCTTTAGCCCCTGGGGTCATTTCTTGTTTCTAGGAAACCGACCTCTACCCCTGGGATCTTCACTCTACGATCCTGACTGAATACGAAACTGGTTTTGGGATCGCATTGGCTGGACCTGAGAGCTGTTGCGCTCCTGAAACCCTACTTCTGAATCCTAGAGTTATTCTGCCTTCTGAGGTCGCGGAAATCCCTCACATGACACCTTCACCACAGCTGCGCACAAATCTGCGTCATTCGATTACTCCCGAAAACACAAGCCATAGCCCCAGGAACCATACTTGAGGTTCCAGGAGTTGATGAAACTGCCAACAGGAACATCACTTTGGTTCCTCGAGGTGGGGGCACAAGACCCCAGAAGCTCAATGGGCTTCCTGGAGGCTACGTGGCTCCCAGAAGCTGCTTCTTTGCCCCTAGAAACCGCACTTAAGTCTCCGGGAGCAAGATAACTCCTAGGGCCAATGCGCGCATTCCCGGGGCTGATAGAGCTGTCAACAGGGGCGTTACTGATTTTGTGAGGGTGGGAATGGTGAGTCTACAAGTTACGTACGATTTCCTGGGCCTTTGTGATCCCTGGGCAGCTCATTTCTCGGGTCGGCTTTTGAAATCTTGACGGCCACCAAGGTTGATGCCACCAAGGTTGATGGTTATTTACGCAGAGCAGGTCGTCAACCATCACCTGCTTGCTACATCAAGCCACCCAGCATACTGCTCCAATATTGGCTACGATTGGTTGGCTAGTCAGATCAAGCGATGAACATGCTTTGGTTTCAATCAAGAAATTCAATTGGTAAATTATCTCACCAACTTTGCAGTAGAGTCCATTCCTTTACCGTTTTTGTCGCACCTCTCTAATGGTTTTGGACTCCACCTCCCTCATTTTTCGAAATCATCATCAAATTCTGCGACTGCCTTTTTTCGTAAACCCGGTTGACTCGTTCCTCACCCCTACTTTAGGAGGTCGATAGAACCCTCTGTGTCTGTTTTATAGGTCCGTCTGTGCGCACTCTGCTAGTGTCCGCGTAAGGCGCATATGGCAAAAGGCACGAGAGACATAATGACCGCTAAAAGTCCGAAAGCCGCCTGGCTAACGGCCCCATAGTACATAATCTTGTAGTATGGAAAATAGCGCTCACTGTCAAATAACTCAAATGATGTCTGAAGACCGTGGACCTTGCTGGCAACATAACCCCCCAAAGATAGAACAATCAAGCCGACGACAAGTTGAGTGCAGACGTAGTAAAGTCGATACTTGCGGTCTTCTCGCAGGCATCTTGGGTGGATCGCAAGAGCGATCCCGAAGATGCAAAACAGAGCTGAGATGAGGGCCACGATCACCATGCCCACGACGATGTTGTCCATGAGATTTTGGAAAGTGATGTCCAACATAGAGTTGCTTGAGGTGGCGAGGTCGGATTTTGCGCGGTCTCGTAAGATGACCGCAAAGCGTACAATGGCCGAACTGAGACCGGCAAGAGCCAGCCAGGTGATGGAAAGGAAAAAGAGGGCAAGACGCATCCGAATTGTGGCTGCGGAAGTATTCAAAGGCATTGTGTCCGCAAGAAAGGAATTTTCCGAATGCAGGAAGGGGAGGCAGGTCTCGTTAAGGAACAGCGGAATGATGAAGCAGGTCAATCCCCGGGCACCGTGTATTTATATGTGCTATGGTCTTTTCATACAAATGCTGCCTTAACAAAGAATGGCCCAGTTGATAGTGAGCCGTGCTAGGTGCCTCTCCCATGCTTTGTTGCCTCAGTGGTAATTGATAATCCTTATAGGCATTCTCTCGGTAAGAATGTTTCAGGCCAAAGCGCTATTCCTACTCGCTAGGTCGACGGTCTCGGAGAGCGTGTCCGATCTCTTGGTAATAAGGCATCGCCTAGAATCGCCCTGTGAGGTCCCAGGAGCTGCTGCCCTTTTTTTCGAAAGTTGTATCAGGTATTCTGAAATTGGATTGGTCAATGCACAAAGTCATATCAGTCCACCTTATGGAAGAACATTTGAACCGGAAGCGAAGTCGTGGGGGTAGAAACACGTAAATATAGGTACCCCGTCCTACCCTTTGCATATTTTCTATCCGTGATAGTAACCGACTCATTCTCCCACTGAGTGGTCTACCATTCCAAATCAGAGTCCAAATGCCTGCGCTCTCTTTTGACAATGTCGTTTGATTTCATTTCAAACAGCGATTACGTCCAGGGGGTAGTCAACCAAGGTAACATTATACGTCTACCGAGCCGAGACCAGTCAGTCATTCTCAAGACACTCTGAACTCCAATAAGGGGGAAAACACCGATGCTGCTACTACACTACCTCTGTGCCAGGTTCTTAGAAGAGCCTAAAGATGCCTAGACATGGTTCAGGACAAAGTATCTGAACATGCTAAAATTGTTGGAGTTGCAGAACGCCTGGACACCCTTCTTCTGGACTGCAAAGACCTCAACTCTGAACAGTGGGGCTCTCTAGAGAATGAGGCTATTATTGCTGTCTTTTCACTTTTATACTGCTGCATCATGGAATGCTACGAGCTCAAACCTACTCCGCTGGCAATCTCGTCTGTATGCGATCAATTTGACGCCTGCAACTTGAATCTCCCATGCGTGTATGATGCAGCTATGATGTATGTTTCAGTTCACCTACCTGGTACTCACAGTATAAATATTCTAACCAGATGGGTGTTCTAGGGATCTGGACTACAGGAGATGGGCATCTTCACAGCAACGGAAAACTGCGGAGGCCATCGATTAAATGGACAAAGGGACGACATGAAGCATACCGGGCCGGTCGTATACCAATCTCGGGCGCCTCTTGATCTGTAGAGGAAAGATTGTGTGTGAGATTGTGCGGCGAGATTGGGGGACATGAATGTGAGCTTCGGCGGAGAACATCGTGGTATCCAAACCGTTGAGTACATACCATGGAAGGACGGAACGCTCCTTACCTTTCCTATCTAGATGACCTGTGAAATTTGAATAATCGTAGTGAGATGATCATGTTTGATGCTGTATAAAGGGTGAATCTATGAATACATATTTGCTATCTATATGGCCGGGCATAGAGAGCACAAGCCCGACACAAATTTCACTTTCTCCATGATTCTAGCCTTGAAAGATATAAATGTCAAGTGAAACACGATATCAGACCCAACTAGCCCTAGAAGCAATAAGTTTCTTGAGACAGTAATGGGTGGGTGCCTGCCTTGCATCACCGGGATTAAATCCCTGCAGGTCCTATACGTAGCGAAGTAAAGAGCACGGCGAAGCACAATATACTTCATTAGATGCCTAGCAAGATATGCGGTCCTGTGCCTTGAGCGCATTAAAATTGGACTGGCGACATTATTCTTTGCTCTGTGCCTTGTTTAAGGTTCAAAATTTCACAATTCCTAGGAGCCACAACAAAGCATAAAGAATGGTGTCAAAAACGAAAGTGTGGCTTTCAATGGGCCTCGTATAGTTTAGGCACCCCGGGCCCTTCATTTTTTGTAGTTGATAAGATCTTCAAATGACCAGACAGGCCTAGAGGGCTATAAATCTCTCGACCCCGACGCCTTTGCACCATATGATAATTTCGAATCACTCAGCTGTCGAGCAAGCTTTGTCTTCAAGACTACCTGAGACTTCTTGACCAGGACCATTTGAGTTCTCCTTTACATGCTCTCGAGCTTTCATTCTCCAAGCGCGGCTGCCTCCATGAGAATGAAACCCACCCCTGGCTGTTCAGACATTGGCCCCGAGTTTGACCGCCTGAAAAACATCAAGAGGATTTCCCTCAATGCAAAGCTTGTGGCCTTTGTCGAAAAGGCTCATTCATCGATTCAGGAACGAGGACGTTTCAAGCAACGGGATTATTACAAGAGATCTCTCCTTCATTACGCTGCCATGGGGAACTGTACAAACCTCCTTCAACATCTCCTACAAAGCAAGCCAAATGTTGATTCTCGAGATCAGTGGGGGCGGACACCACTCTCCTGGGCTGCTGAGTATGGCTCATTGGCTGTTGTGAAAATTCTACTGGACCAAGGAGCAAACGTCAACGCATTAGATTACGAGGGCGGCGCACCGTTGACATGGCTGATGCACGCCGGCAACCCTGAAATTGGAAAGCAAGAGGACACTGAGGCGTACCTAAGAGAGAGAGGCGCGACAGAAGGGAAATTGAGAGGCATCAAGTTCGCCTGGGTCTGGGTTTTGCATTATACTCACTTAATCCGACACGTTCGCCCGCACATCTAAGGCTCCCGATGACATAGAGCCAGCTGATATTGTGCTCTACTATGACGGCCATCAGATAAGTGTCATAGTTGTGGAACGCGGGTTTCACAGACACTCTTGCTTTCTTTTCTTTTTTTTGAGTTGAGTATTTTTGAAGTGGAAATAAAAAGCAACAGTGCAGATTTGCGCGGAATGTTTGGAACATCCGTATGTATTCTATTAGTAAACATCCTATTCTTGCATGGCAGTCCAAGATAGTAGGGCAAGGGATACATGTGCTAGTTTCCACTTTAGCACGTAAAGAAACTGGTATTTTTGACCCCAAACTGTCTACTACAAGACTTTGAGTTTATGGTCGTTTGCGTCGACAATTTGCGTTAGTGCATCAACTAGAACTAGGTCTTGCAGATTTTATTTCGTATGGCAAAGCCCCTGAGCGAGGCTTGGAAGCAGGATAGGACGACATATTCATTGTTTATTCTTTCTAGGCTATAAAATCAAGCTAGCTTATCATATAATAGATAGAATGACATATGTCCTGGAGCTGGCTCCGTGTCTGATAGACTATGCCAAAGCTTGTCTGAGGTAGGGTGTTATGCAACTTTACAGTACCGCCAGCCTATTTCCTGGGCTGAACCACAATGGTAAAGGCTATAAGAATTCCATCACTCTTGTCTTGAATCAAGCATACACTAGACTTTCCCAATGCGTTTCGAATGTGCTACTGTACAGAGATAGTAGTCAATACTATGCACTGCTTGATATTCTACCGTGACGTGTCTTCTAGAGCCTCGTGGGTTTTGCTATTTCATTCAAAAATGGATTGCGAGTTCTCATATTATCACTTCATTGGTGCTTCTAAGGATTTTCATTTCCTTCATGGTTCCAATATACTTGTAAACAAGGAAATATCCATTTCCTAAGGCAAAAGGCGAGAAGCTAAAGCTGTACTATAGAACGCCCGGGGAACACTTGAGTGATCATCCTCTTGATCAAAGCCCGTGTAGTACCTCTCTTCGTTGCGCCATTCCTTCTCAGATAATCTATTGTGGCTGCTTGATTTGGGCCCCTACCCGCTTCTATCAGCCACGACAACGGTGTTGTATACATATCGTCCATGGAGTTAATTTCCACCCCATTGTCCAGCAAAAGTTTCACCGCACGCAATGCACTATATTGCGCGGCCCAGGAGAGAGGTGTCCGCTTGTTCTGATCGAGGTCATCTTTGGCTGTCCCATCTTGGAGGAGATAAAGAAGGAGCTCGGCACAGTCACCCATTGCAGCATAGTGAATGAGAGACCTTTTGAAAGGTCCTCGCAGGTTGTATATCCCTTTGTATTTGAGTGTTGCCTGTGCATCCTGAAGAAATGCCATGATGTCTTCATCAAAGCATATCTCTTTAATGCCTTTTAGGCGTTGAAATTCACCGTCAATGATGGTCAAGGAGCGAGGAGGAATTGCCATAGTGATCGCAGGCACTCCGAGAAGGAGATATGAAGAAAGAAAAGAGGTTATTTGCTCATCAAGGAAGTGGAAAGATAGAGGATTTTAGAGACGTTAGGATCTTCCTTTTCGTATAGCAAGTGTTGAAGGTGCACATCCCTCACATATGCTAGAAAAGGCCTCTGTAGTAACGCAAATTGCATAGGTGATGGATATCGTCAATTTAAATCGTTATTGATTTCGTCTTCGCGAGGTGGGTGTTCAAATATTCTGATGGATCAAGTTACTGAGGGTTGGCACACCGGATTCAAATAAAGGTACGGTAGAAAGGGAGGGGGTTGAGTAGAAGAAGAATAAAATAACCCTTCTTCATCCCTTCGTTCGCTTTTCAGCGTGAGTATCAAGCCCGATGAAAAAGCTGACTGGTTGAATATCCAAGTTCCAGCGTGGTCTAAATTCTGCGTCTGCCTCAACGCGGGCAAAGTGGCGGACAGTTATCGCCGCACTTGACACCAGTGGTGCTCAAGAGCCGTGCCCGCTATTATTGAATGCTTTTGGACCGCGTAAAATAGTGAAACGTTGTCTAGTTACATCAAATTATGACCATTGGCGTGTTGAGAAGTTGAGGCGAGACCTGCCGGATGTTTCTAGCAATAATAAGGCTTCCAAAATCTCATGCATTTTACTAATGGCCATTTGGTTCTGGGGCAGATAGATGGTCAGAAGATCAATCGTTCGCAAGATTCAGTTGGAACCACAGACGGTATATATGCTTAAGACCCTTCCATGACTACTGGCGATGACTTGCAGATATTGTCAGAAGCCTCTCCAATAGCCTCACCTCCTTCGATTATCGATTCAATACTTTGTGACCTCTAAGTCGGCTGCGGGATGGGTACCCGCAAACTGATATCACCTACGCCAGACACCAAACAGCACCTGATACAGAGCTTTCATGAACAAAACCAGCAGATTCTCCAAAGCCAGGACCATGTCAAATCTGAGCGACTCTATGGCACTCATTCCCCAGCAAAGATACTTGAGCTCCCCACCGAGTTGCTATATGACGTCCTAGATTATTTATCTACGGAGGATCTGGTTTCATTCGCATTTTGTCGATGGGATCTGTTTCAGGCTCTGATCGGCTTCATCGAAAGCAAGGCAAGACCATCACTACAAAGCCTTGGCCATCTTGTTACATTGTTCGAGAAAACGTGGCCAAAGAAATGGCTTCGAATCATCGTCCCGATCTGCGCCAGATCCGAACAGCCAATATTGAGAGATCTCGGGACACTTGTGGAGTTATTTGAAGATAGCCATTGGCCCAAAGAGCAGCTTCGAGATATCATCCTAGAATCAGCTAGATATGATCAGCCGGCCGTGCACAGTTGTGTTGGGCTTGGATTTGAAGAGGTGGCTTGTCGGTATTTGCGGAAAAGCCCTCACGCACTATTCGACACGAACATTCTCCACATGGCAGTTTTGCACATCTCTGTCCTCAAAAGTGTTCACACTCTGGTCCAGGAAATTGGAACTATAGCTCAAAACATGCCTGAGTTTGATCGGGTGGAATTTGTCAATCGGCCCGACGACGTTCAAAACACTCCACTCGACTATGCTATTACGACCTCGTCTTCGACTATTGTGAATACTCTTGTTAGCGCTGGAGCTAGAATCAACGATACAGATCGCCTAGGGTATACTCCGCTCATGAACGCGTGTCATCTCGGACGAGACGAGGTCGTCCACTGCCTGGTTGATCGCGGGGCGGACATACGAGCCACAAACAGTTTCAACCTCTCAGTCTTGCAATGTATAGTATTTGGTGAAAGCCGAACGAAGGAGGCATTGTTGCAGCGCATATGCCCCCATGCTACCCAAGTGCAACTGAACAGAGCACTTTGGCTTGCAGTCAACGACAAGAAAGAGATTGTGGGTGTTCTCCTCAGATTTGGCGCAGACGGTCAATATGCTGGTATCCTAGAAGACGATTCGTACGATGCAGAAAGAAACGGGCATACCAGACCAACCACACATGGACCGGTTGAAGCAAGCATGTCATTGTCCTGACGTCATTCAAACCCAAGTATCGACAGTGACCCTGCGTCTAGGGAACCGGATGTTCTCGCTGATTTGAGCCCTATCATGCACTGTG